CCCTCCGCGTATTACGTGGTCGCCCTATTCCACAGTGAGAAAAAACCCACGTTGTATAGCTGGGTCTTGGCGTCGGCTTTTCATCCACTTTGTTCACGGCCGCACCACCCAAGCCCAAACCAGCTTCGGTCGTCAGCGCCATCGCTGCTAGCAAGCACCCACTCCCGCCCTCGGCCGACCCGTAGGGGGGGGGGGAGTGGCCAGACGGAGAAGCGACCTGGTTTGCGATGGGGCGGTGGTGATGGCGGGCAGCGGCGATCTGAGGGAACATGAAAGGGGGGGGGATGGGATGGACGAGTCCATAAGAGGAGTGAGCGAGGGAGTAGATCGTAAGCTTGTGTTTGGCTCTATGGGTTGTGGTCGTGGTTCCGATTACGGCGGCGATGAGTGAGGTGGTCGCCTTGGCGCAAAAGAGTGCGATGTAGTGATGGCAGCGACATGGAGACGTGCAGATGTGCGAGGGCGTGGGTCATATGGTAGCATCAAGTTGCTACATGTACATGAGAGAGGTGCCTGTGATGTCGCGCGGGTTGTGGGGATCCGGTTGCGGATGAGCGCGGCGGTAGGCCTCAAAGTCGACATCGAGGGTGGGAAGTTGGTATCGACAGAGAGCGCACGTGCTGTGCTCGTACAGCCATGGCATCAAGCACATCGAGTGGTACAGGTGATTGCAAGGAAGGCGCAGCGCTTCGTCACCCACAGCAAACGTCTCCATGCAGATCATACACGGCTCCTTGTGCTTGCGCACATGCGATGCACGGAGTTGAAAGACAGACTCTTCAAGCTCATCGAGATAGTATCTCGCTGTCGGAGGTGTCCTCTGCCCGACCCAATCGGGAATGTCGCCAGCGCTTCCGCCACCACCGCCGCCGACTCTGCTTCCATTGCCCGCATCACCGCCCTCGCGCACCAGCCGCTCCAGACTCGCTGCGTCCACGCCGTCGGCCATTCGCTAGCCAGTAGCCTTGTTCGACCGCTCTGCTTTGCTCCCTCTGTCCGTTGCCTGTCCTGTCGGCGTATGTCGACAGCTGTTGCCCGTCGAGTGAGGCGCGTGGGAGATGGCAGCGGTCGCAGGGCGGTCGCCTGGTCGCCTGGTCGCCCCGTCGCCTCGTCACCCCCGTCGCTTGGTGGGCTGCCTGATCGCAGACCCACATCAATCTTTACATGCCCTGCGCACACATGCGCTCGGAAAGGCGGAAGGCGTCGCGATGGGCAATCATTCTGCGTCTGCTCGCACCACTGCCGAGCTGCGGCTTGTGATCTCGGCGGCAGTGTCAAAGATGACGTCGACCCACTCGGAGTACATCGAGCCCGAGGGATGGAGGCCGTCGCGAGCAAGGAGCGAGAGGTCGGACGCAGCCTTGCGCGAGATGGCGGTGACGTCGATCCAGTGGGCGCCGGCGGTAGCAGTCTCGTCGGCGGCAGCAGCGTTGAAGGCATCGATTTCAGCGGCGATGACGGCGGCATCGGCACGCATCCGCTTTGCTGCAGGCGTGACACCCCAGTCTGGAATGGAGATGACGATGACGTTGTCGGGAAGGCCGCCGGCAAACTGGATGGCGGTCTCGAGGAGAGCCACAAACTCGGCCCGGTAGTCGTCCACGCTTCGTCCCCGGAACTGGTTGTTCACACCGATCAACAGAGACACAAGATCCCACGATGGCTCCCACAGTGTGCGCTGCGTCGCATGGGCGATGCCAGCCGAAAGCTCATCGGTTGTCCATCCCGTCTTGGCCACGATGCGGAGAGGGCGGAGATCGATACCGAACGATCGAAGCCGCTTCGCTAGCACCACCGGCCATCGCTCAGTCTCAAGTACGCTCTGGCCGATAGTGTATGAGTCGCCGAGAGCTAGGAATGATGCCGCTTGTGACCGTCCGGCGGTGACATCGATGGACTTGTCCGGGTCGCCGTTGTCGGAACATGTGATGTCACGAGCAGATGTGATTGATGCGATGTCACGCGAGTGCGACATGGCGACCGCGGCTGGAGGGGGGAGGGGGCGACCTTCCACGAGCCCGTTCTCTACAAGTATTCACCTTCCAACAACTCCAACCACCTTGCGCGAGTAGGTGGAATGTGTAGAACACAAGTGAGTTGGTTGTAGCCCGCTCCCATGTATGTACATGTCACACGGCCTCGTCTCCTTCGACTCGCGGCTGACGTGGAAGGTTCCTTGGCAAGACAACTTCGGTTCGAACGGATGACATTCGGCAGAAGCGGGAACAAAAAGCAGGAACAAATGATCGACATTGGTTGGAATGTTTGACCTCAACACAAACCTCATCTCTATTGATCGTACACAACACACACATACACACACACACGTCACGAGATACATCATGCCGATGACGCTTGATTACACACTAACTCCGCCAAAGGGCGCGGTGACCATGAAGCGCAAGCGCGTTCCTTCTTTGAGGGTCTCCCGAAATGAACCTGATGCGCTCCAGGCGTGGCGCGACAAGCCACTCTTCCCATTTGTTCGAGTCGAGCACGACTCGGCCGGTGGGTTGGAGCCGGACGACGTGTTCCTGCTGTGGCAGCTGCGGGCCGAGGACGGTAGCGAGGTGCTTCGATGTGCACGATGCCAACCTGCGCCGGTCAACATGCTCCAGTTCCGACAGCGCGGGGTGTTCAAGCGGATCTACGAGCGTGGTTCACCGCAGGCGGGCTTCCTCGATCCGAGCACCGACGTCGGCATGCCGGTGGAAGCCGCGCTCGACGGCTCGCGTGGGACGGCCGGGCCCGAGGTCCACGGCGTGCTCGCGTACGGCAAGCTCGAGCCACCTTCGGGCAAGCGCGGTGGACGCCAGGTCTGGTCGTCGACGTTCAAGGTCTCGATCCAGTGCAACTCGCACTTTCACGACAACCTGCGGTTCAGGCTCTACACCCAGGCCGTCGTCGTCCGCAATGACGCGGCAGGCGAGCCGGTCATTGTTGCGCTCGAGTCGGCGGCGACTGCGCCTATCCAGGTTGTCTCCAAGTTTCTTGATCCCGTCGATCCCGAGCCCGACGACCCGGCCCAGTTTCCAGCCTCGACCGCCAACGCGGTCGGCCAGGGCATGGTTCACTCGCTGGTCGACGCAGTTACTGCCACGCCCCGGCCGGGCCGTAAGCGACGCCGATCGGCAGAGCCCGACTTGGCGCGGAACTGCTTGACCCACGATCATGGCGAGGCAGACTCGCAGCCGAACTCACCGCCAAAACGGGCCAAGGCGCTCGATGGCAGCCGGCTCTGTACCCGATGCGGCGGGCCTGCGAGCGCGTCTCTAGCGCCGCTGATTCCGCCGTTTCTCCCTCCAAACTCGCCGTTCTCGGCTCTGCTCTTCTCGCCGTTCCCGCGACTCTCCGAGCCCGCATTCTCGAGCGACGAGCTGCCCGTGACCGACGCCGACACGGACATTGCCAGCTTTCTGGTCACGCCCACCGGCGAGGTTCCGATGGAACTTGCCTTTCCCAGCCAGTCGGCCAAGTTGCCACCGACCGACGGGCCGGAGCTCTCGCGCGACGCAGCGGCAACGCTTGCCATGTTTGATGCGCTGCTGCCCGGTGAGCAGCGTCGGCTGCTCGGCGTGCTCAGCGTTGCGCCGCCGCCGCCAATGTAGGCGCGTGCGCCTACCCGGCCGGCTCTTCGGCAAGCTTGAGGCGGGCGAGAGCAATATCTGCAGCGCGATCCAGCCGCGCGGCGGCGGCGGCACTGGCACCGCCGTCGCCCAACCAGCACCGAAGGTAGTAGACCTTGCGCTCTGCGGCCTTGAGCACAGCTTTGGTGCCCTGTGCACGCTCGGCCTTGGCAGCTTTGCGGGCGCGTCGCCACCAGGTCTCCACTTGCGCCAGCAGCCGGTCTAACCTGGCGCGCAGTCTTCCTTCCACCTCATCTCCTTGGTCTCTCCCGCGTGTGCCCGCGTCAAACAGTGCGGCGACGTCGCGGAGGACAATGAACATATCAAACCCAGCTGCGGTGTGGATGCGAGGGCCTGCCGCGACAAGGGCGGCGGTGGCGGCGAGCGCGAGCGCGTCCGCCGACGCCGGCGACACCAGCGCCGGCGGCGGTTCCCTTCCAAAGGCAGTCGGCGCGACAGTGGCAAGCAGATCGACCACCTGGCGCCACTCGCCATCGGCAAACATCAGCTCGCCGTTGTACTTGCGGAGGGCGGCGGCGGCAGCAGCGACAACCTCGACGAGGCTGACGAGGACGCCTGGCGCCGGCGGCAGGCGGGAGAGCTCGGATATCAGTGGCAGGTCTGGCGGCGCCGGTGTAAGGTCGGCCAGTGGTGCGTCAGGTAGCCACCACGGTTGCCAGAGGTCCATCATCGGTGCCATAGCGCCGACCTCGAGCTCTTGGGCAAAGGCCCAGCGAACAGCGTCGGGCAATGCGTCAAAGTCCGGCACCTCGCCCGAGGCCATCATTGTCTCGTTCAGCTCTTCCAGCGCCTGCAGCAGATCCGAGTCAGTCGGGCGGCGTCCCCCAGAACGATGACGATCCGTATCCAGGAGGCAAGCAGGATGAGACCCCCCGGACTCGACGTTGCCATCGACGCCGAGATCAGCTTGGAGAGCAGCGGCAGCATTGTCTACCTTTGAATGAAAGGCATGAACACGAGCAAGTAAATCATCAGCATCAGGCAAAGCATCATCATGAGCAAGAGCTTGAGCGACTTGAGCTCTGTAAAAGGCTTCGGTGCATGCAGAGGAATGGGACTTGTAGCAAGTGAGCGAGCACGAGTCAGCCGAGCACTTTGGGCAGACATACACTCCGAGAGCATGACCACAGACAGCACAACTCCGGTGAATCCGAACCTCATCCATACTTGGTCTATGATTGCAGGTGAGAGTGATGGTGACGTGGGGTGCCGTCTGTCTCTGCTGTGTCGACGGCCGACAGAGGCTTGAGTGAGAGGTGAGTGACTCCAACTACTCGAGGGGTGGCGGACGGGGACGGGGACGGGGACGGTGACGGTGACGGGGACGGGGCCGAGTGTGGTAGATCGGTGGAAGGTAAGGGGGTGTGATGGTGGTGGATATGGGATCATTCGCCATCACACCATCTCTGCAGCGGTGGCAGCCATGGGGTAGGAGGCGGCCCTGACCTCCGCTGTCATGACCATGACCACGACCACCGGGACGGGGTCGGGGTCGGGGTCGGGGACGGGGACGGAGACGGGCACGGGGACGAACCCCAACCACGAGCCACTCGACTCGACGGCTGTCCAAAGACAGATAAAAAGAGGAGAGACCATGGCTCTGACGTCGGACTTGTCGCACAAGCGCACTGTGGAAGAGCTCCAGCCCAAGGCCCGGTTGTCGTGGTAGGTGAGGGAGGAAGGGAGGACGAGGAGGAGGGCGGGGGGGAGGGGGGGGGGGGGGCGGGGAGGGGGGCTCATGGTGGACTCATTGGTGGGTGGGTGTGCAGGCAAGAGTTTAATCAACGACGAAAAGAGCTTGAGGATCAGCAAGAGGCGGACATTCGCGAGGCTGCGGCGTTCCGGAAGCTACTGGACTCGGAGAGATCGCTGCGGTTGTCGGGCATGTCGCTGGAGGAGATCGATAGCATGAAGGAGGGCAAGGGGAGAAGAAGCGGGAGTAGGAGGAGTAGGCGTAGTGGCCACTCGCGGAGAAGTGGTCATGTCTCTCGAAGTGGGCGCTCGTCCCGGAGTGGGCGCTCATCTCGGAGTGGACGTTCATCTCGGAGTGGGCGCTCGCGGAAGAGCTCCCGCCGCCATCGGTCGTCAAAGTCCGGCTCTGCATCCGGCTCTGGCACTCGGTCGCGGTCGCGGTCGCGGTCGCGGTCACATCGTGGAAAGCACAAGTCCAAGTCGTCGCGCCGATCGCGGTCGCGGCGGCAGCGGGGTTCAAGATCAGGCTCGGGCTCGGGCTCGGGTTCGGGCTAGAGGCGCACACGCTGTTAATTCACTGAACCGAGTGGCGGCGGAGCGAGGCGCCAAACGAGGTGGCGTTGGCGAACGAAGGCATGACGCCGACGTGATGGTGCTTCTTGGACGAGAGCATGTGCTTCTGGAGGAAGCGGATCTTGGCCTCATGGACGAGCTGCAGCTGGTGACGGATCTTGGCCTCCTCGCGCTCCTCCTCTTCGCGCTCCATGTCCTCGAGCGAGGCGGCCAGGCCGCGGTGGCGGCCAAGGAGCATGACAGACATGAGGAGAACCTGTGAGAAGCGCGAGAGGGCGCCAGCAAACGAGACCGACTTGCCCGGGAAGCCCATGGAGAGGCCGACGTTGCCAAAGGCGGAGATGACCTCAAAGACGACGCGGAACGGCTCGTAGCCATAGGCATCCGGGTCGGAGAGCGACGACGACTCGGCGATAAAGATGAGCAGGACGACGGTGAAGAGCCAGAGCGAGTTGCGGATGAGCATGGAGCGAGTGGAGAGCGAGAGCGAGCCCTGGACCTGGTCGACCAGCGTGTCTTTGGCCACGCCGTCGTCGTCGCGTGGTGACTTGAGGCCGGAGATGGGATACGGCCGGATGTACATGAGGACAATGTAGAGGACGAGCAGCGCGTACGAGATGGCGCCGATGTCGATGGTGTTGAAGCCTGCAGTACGGGTTGAGATCGACTGGAAGAGGCAGACAAGGATCCATGTCGGCCCGTTGATGTGTGACAGCGCCGAGCGCTGGGTCTCAACAATGAGGAAGAGAATCGAGGTCGGGAGGAGAAGGCCGATGGAGAAGAGCATAAAGAGCTTGGTCTGGAGGCCCGGAAAGAGGAGGATGTACCAGCGCGGGTTGTCCAGCAGGTACTGGTAGAGACCGCCGTACGACGACTTGCGGCGGAGGAGGTAGATGACCGAGTAGAGGAGAACCGGGAACGCTGTGTTGCCGCAGAGGATGAGCAAGGCCACCACGGCGTTGATCACCACCGAGCCGCGGAGCTGGACAAGGTTGTCGGGCGCAAGAGCAAAGCCGGCGTTGTTGAACGCCGAGATTGTGTGGAAGAACGACCAGTACCACGGCGAGACGCCGAGCGCCTTGACCACGCTCGAGCCGAGCGACGAAAACTGCATGTACAGACCCATGACAAAAAAGGCAAAGCCCATGATGCCTGCCACGGTGAGCGGAATAACAAGGAGCAGTCGCCCAAGTGCGGCGTACTCGATGTCGTAGAACTTGAGGTCTTCCGGTGTGTGGAGCGAGGCGTACCGCTTGACCAGGATCCGAGCTCGCTTCAGCACCAGTGACGGGTAGGTGGTGAACACAATGCCGCCGGCAAAAATGAGAATGAGGACCCAGACCTGCGAGACGACCCGGAGCTGGGAAAAGTCGACCACCTGCAGGCCGGTCACGGTCAGCGCTGAGACAACGGTAAAGAGTGCGTCCATAAACGCCATCTGGGTCGCCTGCGACTCGAGGCCCCAAAGCACAAAGGTTCCCACGGCAGACATGATGGCAAAGTAGAGGACGTGAAGCCGAAAGTAGTGCAGATCCGGCAGCTGCATGACAAACTCATCGACGCCGCGCTCGTCTTCATCGTCGCTGTAGTATTCGTACTCGTACTCGCCATCAGCAGCCATCAGGCCACCCTCTCCCTGTCCACGATACGAGTCCACATTGTTGAGGCCAAGGCCTACACCAAGGCCACCGCCATCCCTCTGCGACTTGTTCGAGACAATCGACTCTGTCTTGCGCATCGACGCCTGTCTCGACAGTGCGTGGAGCTCGGCCAAGCCCTCCTGCAGCACATCGATGCCAGATCGAACCGATGCACCTCTCCTCGGCGAGCCAGCAGTACCACCACCACCACCACCACGGAGCAGCAGAACTGTGATTCCCAGCGAGCCGACCCGTTGAGAGCTGCGGATGGAGCGATGATGACAGAGCGGTACCCCGGGACGACAGAGTCCGTGGGCTTTGTCGCATGGCCTGCCGGGTGACAGTGACAGTACCAGGATCAGGACCAAGAGCAGCATCATCAGAAGGAGAGACACGTGGAGAATGAGGAGGATGATGATGACTGTGATGATGAGGATGATGGGGGGCAGTCTCCCGCTGGTCACCCTCTTCCGAGTACCCGTACGAGTACGAGGACATGGCGAGTATGAGAGAGGGAGGAGGGGAGGGGGGGGATGTGAGGATGTGGAGGGGGTGGGGTGGGGTATGTCGTGAGGTGTGGGTATGTGTGGCACACTGGGTGGGTCTCCTGCTCATCCTCCTGGTCGTGACTGTGGCAGTGGAGGGATGCCCCCCTCCCCTGTCGGCTCACAGGCGGTGGGAAGAGGAGGCACTGCGGGGGATGATGGATTTAGGAGACAGGAGAGACAGAAGATGGGAGATGGAGACTTGGTCAGGACCAGTCGGCAAGGGCATGTATTGACTGACTGGTGGTGGATGACTGGTGATGGCTGGCTCGATGGCTGGCGATGGCTGTGGCCGACTCGATGGCTGGTGATGGATGGCTGTGACCGACTCGCTGGCTGGTGATGGATGGCTGTGACCGACTCGCTGGCTGGTGATGGATGGCTGTGACCGACTCGCTGGCTGGTGATGGATGGCTGTGGCCGACTCGCTGGCTGGTGATGGATGGCTGTGGCCGACTCGATGGCAGGTGATGGATGGCTGTGGCCGACTCGCTGGCAGGTGATGGATGGCTGTGGCCGACTCGATGGCAGGTGATGGATGGCTGTGACCGACTCGCTGGCTGGTGATGGATGGCTGTGACCGACTCGCTGGCTGGTGATGGATGGCTGTGGCCGACTCGCTGGCTGGTGATGGATGGCTGTGACCGACTCGCTGGCTGGTGATGGATGGCTGTGACCGACTCGCTGGCTGGTGATGGATGGCTGTGACCGACTCGCAGGCTGGATCGGTGGCGGTTGGTCGGTGGCGATCGATGGCGATCGGTCGGCTTCCGGTCGGTGGGGCGGACAACCAGCAACGGGGGAGAGCGGAGGGTAGAAGGACCGTAGACGCAACTCTACGAAGCCCTTCATTGCCGGACACCAGTGAGTGTGACTCTGTCCAATTCTCTGTACCATAGAGCTATGGGAGGTAATGTAGCATGTGGCAAGGGCAATCCAGGTCCCGGTGTGGCTGTGGGTCGGCTGGTGGAGGTGGTGGCGGCAGTGGTCGTCGTTCTTGCTCTGATGGCACCTGTGACCATGGCTGGATGCCCGCCGGTCTCTCCAGCTGCATCCACCCGTATTGTCTCGTGTGGAACAGACATTGGGGATGTATGCTCGTTTGAATGTGCTCATGGCTACTCTCTCCCGCAAGATGTATCCCTCATCATGCATTGTGTGGCTAATGGCGCTAACCATCCGTTTTGGCGCCCGTCGCTCCCGCCTCTCTGCGTCGCTGCTTTGTCGCCAAGGGCAAGGGATGGCTCAGATTCGGTCGTCACTGCAACTGCTCTCTCCACTGTTGCTGTTCTGTTTATCATCGCTGCACTCTGTGTCGCTCTCCGTCTCAAGATCGCTGTTGACAATGAGAAGGCCGGAAAGACGCCTGCCGACCAACATGTCGCTGCGCAGCCGGTGCTGTTGGAAGACGCCAGCCATCTGCCCTTTGCACAAGATTCGGAAGGGCAGAACGATGCGCCGCATGGCCAGTCGTTTGAAAGCCAGCCGAATGATGCACAGGCAGAGCCTACAATCGGCCCAAAGCTGCACCCCACGTCGCTGTCGCCGGCGGCTGCGCCTGCACCTGCACCTGCTCCAGCTACACCTTCTCCGTCGGCACATGTGGCGGCTGCATCGGTGCAGTCGTCGCTCTCGCCTGCCCGCACAGTAGCCTCGCCGTCATCGACGCCGCCGCGTGGCCCGCGTCCGCGTCCCCGTCCGCGCCCTAGCCTCACCACCCAGGTCTACACCCCTGGCCGCAACGGTGGGGTAGAGACATCGATGACGCCCTCGCGCGAAGTCGCTGCCACCACCGTCCCTCTCGATACCTTTGCCCAGCACCAGTCGCGTATCTAGTCGCGTCCTAACCACGCACGTTCTGATATCACAGCCCCCTCTACCTCCCACAGCCCCCCACTGTGAACCAACTCAATCCAACCCCCCTCAATCGCCCATCCACGCCATCATCACCCATCATCAGCCTTCATTTCGCTTAGCGCAGGAGTGGCTTGGCAAACCAAGAGCAGTCACTTTGACGAAAGCGAGCAAATGAGTGCGACTCGCAGAGATTTGGAAGAGAGTTTGGCCGACGACAACGACGACCACAAGCACGGACACGACGAGAACGAGGACGGGGACGACAACAACAGCTCGGCGTGCGACAACAACCACAACAACAACGAACGACGACAACAACAGCTACTTGACTTCAACTGGAAGACACACTCGGTTGCGGGCAAAGGGCGAGTATGGCGAGGACCAAACAGACAGCACGCGTGAGCAAGAGTAAGAAGAACAAGCGGACAGAAGCTGCCGTGGGACCGGCACCTTCGCCGTCTAGTGGTGCTACCCATCTCCTGCACTCGCCGTCAAAGACATCATCGCCGTCCAAGATATCATCGCCGTCCAAGACATCATCGCTGTCCAAAACATCGACAACACCGTCAACGTCATCTCCATCATCAGCTACTACTCCTTCGCAATCTTTCTCAAAGTCATTGTATGCAAACAAGCCATCGATCAGAACGTCGTCGGCCGGCAAGTCGTCGGTCGGCATGGTATCGGCCGCCTCCTCGCCGATGCCGTCGTACGGATTGGATGAGTTTGGCCGTGGAAAGGAGATGTCAAGAGCGAAGAAGGGTTACGGAAAGTCGGCGCCCATGAGCAAGCCCATGCCGCCGTCGTCAAAAGGGGGGAAGATGAGCAAGGCTGGAGCGATGACGGGTACTGCCCCGACTCGCAAGACCAAGAGCTCGAGGTTTGGAAAGAGCTCGCCGTCAGCTCGTGTGGAGACGCCGCTGCCGCCGCCTGGGTCGTCGGCTCTGTTTGCAGGTGGATCAGATGGATCGTCGCGCAAGAAAAGGGCCGCAAGAAGGTGTCCAAGGCGACCAAGCCCGCCAATGTCTCCAAGAAGCGCCGGAAGAAGGTCTCCAAGAGCAGGCAGCCGATATTCGACTCGGATGCCGACTCTGACGACGACATCTTCAACGATGCCGATGGCAACCAAGCTCTCACCGTGATGGGCAGCGCTGGTGCGCGCAACCATCATGCAAGCGTGTTTGCCGACGACGACGACGATGTTACATTGACCGAGGTCCTTGTGCATGACGCACAGTCCAAGTCGTCGACGCTGGCGACGCCGACGCCGGTTGCAACCGCCAATGATCTCATCTTTGGCAACGAGTCGAACGACGACTCGGCGTCGAATGACATCTTCTACGACGCAGGCTCGTCCAACTCTTCATGGGATGATGCGTGGAAGGCGCAGCAACAACAGCAGCAACAACAGCAACAGGCGGTGTCGCCTGCCTTTGACTTTGGGCCGGAGACGATCTCGATGGACCTGACGGCCGCGCTTCCGACGGCGACCCAGACGCTCTCGGTCGGTCTCCCGGTGGCAGCGGGCTCGGGCGGTCCGCAGCAGCAGCTTGACTTTGTCATTCAGTCGCCGTCAGTGGAGATCATTCCGTGGTCCGAGTTGGAGATCCTCGGCGAGCTTGGAGCAGGCGGGCAGGCATCGGTTGTCCACGCCTCGTGGCGGTTCACCGACGTGGCGGTCAAGGTTGTTGCCGGCGTCCAGTCCAAGGCACAGGTGGTCATGCTCCTCGAGGAAGTTGCCGTTCTCTGCACGCTCCGTCACACCAACACCATTCTCTGCATGGGCGTGTGCTCTGAGCCCGAGGCCTCGCGCATCGCCATTGTCACCGAGTACATGGCCGGCGGCGATCTGGCGGGTCTCATCCACCGCCCGCAGACGCCGACGCCGGTCGAGACCAAGCTCCGCATTCTGTTTGACGCTAACCGCGGCCTGCACTACCTCCACGCCACTGAGGCCGTCCAAGTCCACCGTGACATCAAGCCATCCAACATTCTGCTCACTGACCGGCTCGACGCCAAGCTCGCCGACTTTGGCATTTCAGGCACCAAGTCGGCTGCCACCTCGGGTATGCTCACCCACCGCTACGCATCACCAGAGATGTTGGCCGGCAAGCCCGCAACCTGGGCCGATGATATGTACGCCATGGGCCTCGTCATGGTCGAGCTCCTCTCCGACGGCGTTCGCCCGTTTGCCTGGCTCGCTGACGCCCGCCAGCGGACCACCGACAACTACTACGCGCACCCGTACCGCCCGGCTGACGGCAGCGCCCCGGCATCTGACTACGTCCCGCTCGAGTTCATGTCACCTTGCCTCCCAGACCTGGTGGCAATCATCGCCCGCTGCTTTAGCGAGCCGGCGAGTCGGCCCACAACCGCCGACGTCCTCAACTCTCTCAACAAGGCCCGCACCGCCGTCAAGCGCGGCACCCACGTTCCCGACTCGCCACTGATGCGCAAGCGGCACGAGGCCGGCGTGTTTGGCCCGCCTGCTCCCCAGCCGCAGACTTACCAGCCGCCACAGGCCTACGGTCAGCAGCAGCAGCAGCAGGCCTATCAGCAGCAAGCATCTACATACATGCCCCAGATCCCGGCCTCACGCATGCAGCAGCCGGCGTACGACATCGCTACCCCCGAGCTTGCTCCCACTAGCAGTTCTGGGCCAGCCCGCCGCTCGGCTGGCCAGCAGTACGACGTCCGCAACATGATGATGCCGCCAAGCTACGGCAACCGCAGCGAGACGCTGACCTCGACGACTCAGAGCACAACAGGTGGTGGCTCGGGCACGTACTCGTCATCGCCGATGCCTCTGCCGGTGTACACCAGCAACTCGACCGCCACCGGCACGTTTGGCTCGTCGTCGGGCACCGCGCCAATGTCGTCCACACCTACGCCCGAGGCCCGCGAGCAGCATGAGCGCAGATACTCGATCTCCAGCTCACCCGAGCTGGCTGTCCAGGCTGAAGCGCCACCGGCCAAGATGCAGCTCCGTCGCCAGACCCGCTCCAAAAAGCGCTCTGCGGGACCGTCGTACCAGCAGGCGCCGCCAACGGCAGCGCCGGCCAAGGTGTCGTCGCGCCGGCGCAAGTCCAAGTACTGAAGATGGAGGATACAGGGTACATGTGTATTTGGAGGGAGGAGAATGAAGGCGTAGCTGGACTACACAAAGCTCACGTTCCAGATCTTGACAAGGCGGTCAGACGAGGCGGTGATAAAGTGGGCCTCGCCAAAGCCAGCGACGGCGTTGATGGCGTCGGCGTGGGCGCCGCGGATGCCGCCGGCCGACTCTTCGGCCTCGATGTCCCAAAACTGGATGCAGCCGTCGCGGTCGACCGAGTGGAGGACGCCGTCGGCGACAAACATGCCCATGACGCCCGCCGTGTGCGACGAGATGATCCGCGAGGTGATGCCCGAGTTTGTGCCACCGGTGCGGAACGAGGAGATGCCGCGCCATTGCTTGATGTTTGACGACTTGGAGCCCGAGTAGAGCGTGCCATCGTGGAGGCAGAGCGCCGAGACGCCGTCGTAGTGCGGCGGCTGGAGCGTGGCAAACGAGGGCTTGCTGCTGATGACGACGACGACGACGCCAGATCAAAGATGCCCACATGGTGGTCGCGGAAGCCGGCAACGAGATACCCGTCGTCCGACGCGGTGGCCATGGAAAAGACCGAGCTCTGTCGCCCGCGAAGTGAAGGCAGCGACTTGAAAGAGCCCATGTTACGGATGTCGAATCGCTTGATGGCGCCGTTGCCGAGTGCCGCGTACAGGGTGTAGCCTGCCATGGTGAGAGCGGTGACTTCGGAGCCGGTCGAAATCGACGCGGTGCATGGGTACTGCTGCGACGCGTCCCAAACGCGAACCGTCTTGTCGCGGCCGCCCGAGAAGACGCCGCTCGGCGCCACATGAAGCGCCTCAACTGCGCTGGTGTGTCCGTGGAGCGATTCGACGCACTTGCCGGCCTCGACGTCCCACATCTTGATCAGCTTGTCCTGTGCGCCCGAGTACGCAATGTCGAAGCCCTTGGACGCCGCCACGGCATACACCGCCCCGGCGTGTCCGCGCAGTGTGGCCAAGCACGCCGACGTGGCCATCTCATCGGGCTGGACCTTGGGCTTGGACCGCAGGCGCGAGGCGCGCGACTCGGCGCCCCCGGTGCGGCCCGAGACCTCGCCCGGCCGAGAGCGGGCGTCGCGGCGACGGGCATGTGCAGCAGCATACGAGCCGCGAGCGGGCTCGTCCGCCGCTGGAGGCTCCGACTCGGGCACCGACGACGACGCTTCGGACGACGACGACGCCTCGGACGACGATGATGCGACCGACGACGCCGAGGTGTTGGCTGTCGCTGGGGAGGCGACACTGTCGCCGCGCTTGACCGGCGAGACGTAGCGCGAGGAGCGGGCGACCGGCTCGGCGCCTGACGACGCAATCTGCGACTCGAGGTCCTCGACTCGAGCGGAGAGCTTGAGGTTCTCGGTCTTGACCTGCTGCAGCACAACGCGGCGGAAGGAGGCCGTGGCGAGCAGATCCTCGACGTTCTGTTTGTGGCGGGTGACGGCGGCCTTGAGATCGGCGTTGTGCGACTGCAAGATGGTCAAGTGCTCGGCCTTGAGCGAGAGCAGGGCCTTGAGCTTGTTCTCGCGCACAACGCACTCGGCGTGGTCGCCCGAGATAGTTGCCGCCGCTTCCGCGCTAGCATCCGAGTCAGCATCAGATTGCGCGTCGGCGCCTGATGCGGTCACCTTTGTCAGCCACTCGTCGTCCTTGACCTTTTCGAGGAGGAACAGGACCTTGTCCTCGTGCTCCGACTGGAGCCGGACGAGATCGGCCTCACGGGCGGCGGCGGCTGAGTTAGCGACCTCGAGCATGCGCTCTTTGTCCTCGATGGAGGCGTTGGCCACAGCAAGCTTGTCGGCTTGGGAAGCCAGCTCGATGCGGGCAATAACAATCTCGGAAATGGCGTGCTCAAGGGCAGCGCGGCACTCGTGGCCAGAGAGGCGCTCAATGCGGCGGACAAGCTTCTCGTCGAGGTCGGCGTCAAAGAACTCGGCAAGCTCGCTAGCCGGACGGAACTTGGCGTCGGCGACGGCGCGCTGGGCGGCTTCGAGCTCGGAGGCACCAAACGCAAGCTTGGCCTCGAGCGACTCGACCTCCTCGAGGACGGTAGCAAGCTCCTGCTTGAGCTCGGCGTTGGAGGTTGATGCGTCCTGAAGGTCGGCGTAGAGGCCATCCGACGAGAGGTTGGCATCCTCAAGCTCGCCGAGCTGGGCCTCGAGTTCGGAGCGGGTAGCATGCAGGGCCTCAAGCTCCGCGACGAGCTCGGCACGGCAGGCAAGGGCGTTGTCGAGCTTGCGGACGGCAAGACCGTGGTCAACGTGGGCCTGGAACTGGGTCTCAAAGTAGTTCTTGATGGCGGAGAGCTTGGCCTTGGTCGACTTGGGCATGCCGCGAATGTTGTTCTGACCCCATGCTGGCTTCGCGGCAGCCGCGCCGGAGACCTTGCGCTTTGCGGCGGCGACGGCGCGGGCCTTGGCCTCGTTGGACTTGACCTGGGCCTTGAACGCGGTGAGCTCCTCCATCTTGCGGCGGGCGACCGCCTTGGACTGAACGAGGGCGCGCTCCTGCTTGCGGAGACGGGCCTCGTCCTTGCGCTTCTGTGCCTGGAGCTGGGCGACCTTGCGAGCCTGCTCGGCCTTCCACTGGGCGTGCTTCTTGGCGGCGTCGCGCTGCTTGCGAAGAAGCGTGATGCGGGCGCGCTTCATCTCGTCGATCGACGACTGGAGAGCTTCAAAGCGTGAGGCCTCCTTGGCACGGAGCCGCTGGATGCGCTCGAGCTCAACCTTGTGCTCCTGCAGCGACTTGAGCTGCTTGTTGAGCTTGCGGAGACGGCCCTCATACGACTTGCGAACCTGGACCGAGCCCGTCTTGGTGCCGGTCTTCATGGCTGAGAGCTCGGCCTCGATGGCGGCCTTGTCGGCCTCGATGGTGGCGATGTCCGACTGGAGCGAGGCGAGCTTGGACTCGTAGTCCTCCTTCATCTCGTTGAGCGCCTTCTTGGACTCAACAATCTTGGCGAGAAGCTCCTCCTTGAGCGAGATGTTGCGATCCAGGTGGGCAACCTTGGCGGCAACCTTGTCCTGGGCGGCAGCAAAGGTGTTCTCAGAGGCCACGGTCTCAGATTCGAGCTGGGCCAGCTGGGCGGCGGCAGCGGCGGCGGCGGCGACGGCGGCGGCCGACGCGTCGTCGAGGAGGGCGCCCGGAGCAGCATCATCGTCGAGCTCTTCGTCATCGAGTGCAAACGAAGAAGCCGAGTCGGAAGCGTCCAGCTCGGGCGAGGACGCACGCGATGCGAGCTGCGCCTTGAGCGAAGCGATGGTCTCGAGATAACCCTGGATAGTGGCAGCAGCGGCCGGGCCCTCAGTCTGTGGGGCGAGGCCGGCGTCGGCAAGTTGGTGGGCGTAAGCGTCGCGCTCGGCGGTGACCTTGAGCAGCGAGTCTGTGAGCGACTTGACCTTGGCCTGGAGCTTGCCGTATGCCGACTGGAGGACCTCGTTCTCCATCTGAAGCTTGAGAACGTTGTCGGAGGGAAGGGCGGGCGCGGGAGGCAGGGCATCACCGCCGGACGTTCGCGCCGCGGCAAGCTCGAGCTGCAGCTGCTTGATGTGGGCTTTGAGCGACGAGAGCTGGGCCGAGTTGAGGTCAAGGTTGACGATGGGCTTGTTCTTGATCTTGCGAGCACGGTCAGCGTAGCGGAGGGTGTTGAGCGTCTCCTCAAAGTTGATGTCTGCCGGCGAGACGCAAGCAATCATGAGTGTCCGTGAGTTGCCGCCAAGCGAGTCCTGGAGAAGACGGGTGAGCTTGGAGTCGCGGTAGGGAATGTGGCGGGCCTTGCGCTTAGGGTCACCGAGGGCGGAGATGACGTTGCCGAGAGCAAGGAGACCACAGTTGATGTTGATGCCCTCTTTGAGGCGGTCGCCGACAGCCTTGGTCCGCTTGAGGCGCTCAGAGCCGGCGAGATCGACAAAGTGGAACTTGGAGACGAGGCGGCCGGCTCCCGACGCCGGACTCTGCTCAAGGATGAGCGAGAAGATGGCGTGCGAGCGCGACGACTCAGAGTTCATGAGCGTCGATGCAGTGGTCCGGGAGATGGAGCCACGCTCGAGCTTGTCAAGCAGGTCGTCGGCCGAGTTGACGGCGAGCTCGGTGATGCCGGCGACAGTGATGGCGCCGTCGGCCTCGCGGATGGCAAGCGAATTGGTCTTGGTCGAGACCGCCGGGTTGAAGAGGTCGACGATGTTCTCGTTGTGAATCTCGAGGAACGAGACCCGCATCGAGTAGGCCGAGTCGGCCGAGCCTTCTGCGATGCGGGTGTACATGGCGCGGATGACCCGCGGGATGACGCCGAGCTGGGCAGCGGCGAGCGAAGCGTTCGAGCCCGAGCCCATGGTGTACGTCTTGCCCGAGCCAGTCTGGCCGTAAGCGAGAACGGTGGCGTTGTAACCGTCAAAAAAGGCGTCAATGAGCGGCGAGACAGCATCGGTGTAGAGCGCGGCCTGGTTGGCAGCCGGATCAAAGACGTAGTCGTAGGTAAAGCTCCGCTGACCGCCGAGCACCAGCTGCGCCGAGCCGGGCACAAACTCGATGCACTCACGAGCGCGGACGGTGTTTTCCTTGGGCAGCAGCGGGCGGACGCGAACAGCGACCCGGACCGACATCTTGTCCTCGTCATCGTCGTCATGGTCGCCTGCGGCGGCGGCAGCAGCACCAGCCGGTGTGGCAGCAGGAGCGGGAGCGGGGCCAGGGGTCGGGACCTGGACCGAGCTCTTGTTTCCGAGTTGGGCATAGTCTCGTCAGGAGAGGGGATGGCAACCTCAGAGTCCTTGGTCATCAGCGCTGCTACCTGTGTGCCCTCAGTAGCCGTGGCGAGCGTGTTCTGCACCTCGCCCAGCGGGGTGGTCGACATGGCGCGCGGAATGCAAAAGTTTGAATGAAACTTTGGGCGGCGAACAGTCGAGTGTTGCCAGGCGAGGTGGGCGGCAAGGGGAATGATGAAATGAACGAGAAATAATTGTGTGAGAGGGGGCCATGATAAAATGAACGTGAAATAATTGTAGGCACGGGGTGGCGGGTGGCTTGGGTTCTGTCCGTTGACGGGCAGAGTTGAGCACCGAGACGAAGCGATGGAGAGCAATGACGGGCCGTACCGCTCTTCAGTATCTGCAAGCGAGAGATTGTGTAGGAAAGGAGGAAGCGATATGGGTCTGTTTGGTGGAGGCAAGGGCAAGAAGAAACGGAGGAAGCGGCGGGCAGTTGCTGGTGACGACAGGCCTGAGGAGAGTCAGGCGGTGATGACAGCGGGGCAGGCGGATGATGGAGCCGAGGCCATGGCACTGAGGGCAAAGGTGGCGGCGCTTGAGGCTGAGGCGGCTTCTGCTAGGGCCGAGCTGGAAAAGGCGCGTGCTGAGATGGCGGCGAGTAAGGCGGCGGCGCAGAGCAGAACGCTCCTCGCTCAAGCAGCTCGAGGCGCGGACCAAGGCGCGGGTCCAGATCCGCGGGCGCGGGTCCGAGAAGGACGGAAAGCGGGTGCTCTCGCAGGGCTCAACCGAGAAGCTCCACGCAGTCATCACGGCTTCGACTGAGGACGAGTCGCACGCGCACAAGCTGCGCAACGAGCTCGTGCTCGCCAACATCCGGACCGAGACCGTGGCCAAGCGGATGGAGGCTGAGCTCGAACATGTGCGGTCAATGGTCGATGCGGCGCCCGGCGCCCGCGAGCGTGCCATCAAGGGCTTACAAGCCACACTGGATGCTACGTTGCGGGCTCTGTACGATGCGCAGGATGTGGCGGCGGCGTCAGATGCCGCTGCGCGCACCCTCTCCACAGAGTCGGCGCTCATCATCGACGCCTTTGTCTCGTATGTCGAGGCTTGCGAGGTCGGCATTGCAGTGAGTGCACCCGACCCGCAAGCAGAACCCATCGCATACATTCAGTACTGGCGAGCACGAACGGTGGAGATCGTCAATGCGCATGCGGCGCAGCTCGCGCTCGACGGCCGGGTCCCATTCGACAACGCAATGGTCGACTACGAGCCTCCTCCAGCTGCCGGCGCCGCCGCTCGCGACCGTCCTCCGCCACGCTATGACGCTGGTGCCATGGCCCGTGCCCGCGCCGATCAGCTTCTGGCTGCCGCCAAATCCTCGATTCGCGGACAGAGCCCAATCATCCAGCCGCGGTATGCCGGCCCGGCGTACATCGGAATTGCCACGCCTCCGCCCAAGCCGTCCACACTTCCTACCCCTGCGCCCGCCACTCGTCATCGACGCGAGCAGAGTGCGACCTCGTACGGATCGATCGGATCGTCGTACAGCTGTCGTTGATTGGCGTGATCTGATAGCTAGCTGGAATTGCTCGTCTGTTGGCAAAAGCAAGCGATGAACGGTATGCCATGGTAACCGATCACGTTCCGTCCTGCAGGACAGCCGCCGACCTCCAGGCCTGCGCAATAATGCGCGTCCTCCCGAGCAAACTCATGGTGTGACAAGTGGCACGTCGACTCCCCGCCACCCGGAGGTTGCCCCCCGCGTCTCGAGGCACTTGTCTCACCTCCCCTCCCCCCCCCCCCCCCCTCCCCCCCCTCCCCCGTCCTCTTCTTCGAACGACGCACCCCCTCCCGCCTCATGAGCGCTCCTCCCACGGCCCAAGACGTTGTGCTCGCGGCGCTTGCGGCGAAGGGCGCCCCGGACGGGGTGGACGGTGGGGTGTGGCTTGCATGTGCGCGCGAGGCTCTGGCAGAACTGTCCGAGTACCCGGTGGACGTCCTTGCCATCTTTACGGTCGGAAGGGTACAATTGAAGGTGGCCGAGGCCACAGCCGAGGCCAAGGCCGAGGCGGAGCGGGCGGCACGCGAAGAGGCCGAGGCGGCACGCGAAGAGGCCGAGGCGGAGCGGGTGGCACGCGAGGAGGCCGAGGCGGCACGCGAGGAGGCCGAGGCGGCACGCGAGGAAGGCGACGCCAAGGCCAGAGCGCACGTGGCGTTTCTCATGGGCAAGATCCCCGATTTCCGCACTTTGCCGAGCTGATCGAGTGGGTCCGGCTTGTCCGGGCGTTCCAGGTGAGCGAGCGCGGCGGCGAAGCAGGGTCACCTCCGCGCACAACACGTGCTTCCGTTCAAGTCGGCTCGCACCAGAAAGACTCGGCACCGTCGAGCTCGTCCATGTCGGCCGTCTCTCGCATGAATGGCTTTCAGCTCACGCGACGACACGCATACACGTGGTCGTTGTGGAAGCTGGACTACGCCACTGCATTTGAATCGCTGCTGGGCGAGGCTGGGGTCAACACTGTCGAGGCCAGGGCTGCCGTCGAGGCGTGGCGGGAGTGCGCTCGGCTCGTCCATGACTTTTGGCGGGACATTAGCGAGGTCAAGCAAGTCCAGCCGCTGTTCTACGCTTGGCTCTCGTGCGTGCTCCGCCGTGTGTTCGACGGCACGGCTGAGCAAGTGTCCACCGAGCAGTCGCTTCACGTCGAGGTCCCCGTGTACACCAACGAGGCGTGGGCGCAGCTTCCGCGCGATGGGGCCACGGCCGACGACGAGAAGGACAAGCACGTGCCGCGCTGCGGGAAGGTGGACGTGGCGGTGAGTGCGGCGGGTGGCTCGGAGACGGTGGTCGTCATCGAACTCAAGGCGCCGAGCGACCCAAAGTGGGAGGGCGGGCGGCGCTGCGCGGCCAAGGGGCAGGTCATTGTGGAGGCGGCCGCAGCACTCGCGGCGCGGAGTGCAGACGCGTGTGGAGAGACGCCGATGTTTGGGATTCTCACGGACATGCGGTTCCGGCTGAACGCCCTGGCGTTCTACCCAGCCTCGCCGTGCACGTGGGTGCGGCAAGGCGGCGACGATCACGAGAACGAGGACACGGATGGGTACCCGCCGTGGACGTTTGCCATGACGGAGACTTCTACGGCAGTGGATGGCAACAGCAGCGAGAGCTCCGCCGCGGGATCATCGGCAGACAACGCCGCCGAGGCGTGGGATGGCGCCCGGGCCAAGCGGTCTGGCATGGTTGCTCTCGTTGTGCTGGGCCTCGCCCTGTGCCCGGATTGGGACGCGGACGGTGCTCGCAACCGCGTGGCTGACGTGGTGGCGGGCGAGGTGGAGAAGTTTGTGGAGAAAACCGAGGCAGTGCTCAGTCTGTCAGAGACGCCCGACCTGGATGGAAGCGGACTCGGGGACGACGAGTCGTCTCGGGATGGCAGCGGTGGTGGTGGCGCTGCTGATGGCGACGCAAGCGACGCAGATGGAGCCTCGGGTGGGGCACCCGACTCGGAGCGGGGCTCGAGCAAGGGCCGTGGGGGTAGAGTGGCTCGAAGCAGAGCGAGAGCAAGTCGAGTGACAACCCGAGCGAGGCGCGCGTGTATGTCGACCAATATGCGCTCAGGAACATTCCACTCGCTCTACCTCTCGCCGATCGTGTCGCGGCGTGGGCCAAGCTCGCGTGCGCCGCCCCGTCCCCCACACCCAGGCCCCCCGTCTCCCGCTCGGCATCCTTCCCGTCAACATCCCGCAACCGCCGTAGAGCGTGTCAGTGTGTGGCAATGGTCTGTCGACGGTCCAGCTGGAAAGCGCCCTTCTCCCCGCTGCATACTCCGGACACGCGCGGACACGCGTCGCCGCCGCCGCCATCTGGGCGCCGACGAGGTGCGTGCCGGCGGCGAACACAAGACCCAGGTCGGCGCTCCTCGGACGCAACGCCCCGCGTGCGTGTAAATCAAATTGATGATGTAGACTAGAGGGTCCACGCACGGAGTGGCGGGAGCGGAGGAGGAGGGGGAGGAGGCGGAGGCGGCGGTGGACACGGAGGAGGCGGTGGGCATGGTGCTGGGGCCGGAAGTGGACAGAACAGTGGCTACAACCACCATGGCTATGGTCAACATGGAAGCGGACAAGCCCGCGGAGATCGTGGCGGAAGTCGATGGGGAGACCGAGGTGGCGACCGTCGAGGTGGTGATCGTGGAGGCGATCGTGGCGGTGGCTATGGCGATCGTGGTGGTGGATATGGCGATCGTCGTGGCGGTGGGTATGGTGGTGGCGGCGGAGGTGGCGGTGGCCGGCGGCAGGCTGTGTTGCCGTCGAATATGACACCAAAGCAGCAGGAGTTTGTGGCCATGCAGCAGCGACTGGAGGACATCAACCGGAGCTTGCTGACGGGTGAGTACGCGCGGCGGCCGCCGTCTTCACGATCACCGTCGCCGCCGCCGCAGTACGACTCGTTCGGAAAGCGGACAAACACCCGCGAGATCCGTCGCCGTTCCAAGCTCGAGACCGAGCGGGCAGAGCTTGTGGAGAGGATGCGGCGGAACAACCCGCGGTGGCGGCCGCCACCGGGCTTGAGCGGTGGTGGGCGGCGCAACTATGTGACCAAGGTCTATTTCCCGGTTGACGAGTACCCTGACTTTAACTTTCTGGGCCACGTCATCGGTCCGCGCGGCTCCTCGCTCAAGCAGCTCGAGGCGCGGACCAAGGCGCGGGTCCAGATCCGCGGGCGCGGGTCCGAGAAGGACGGAAAGCGGGTGCTCTCGCAGGGCTCAACCGAGAAGCTCCACGCAGTCATCACGGCTTCGACTGAGGAGGCAATGCACGCCGCCAAGGCCGAGATCGAGAAGCTGTGCAACGTCGTGCCCGAGGAGGAGAACGAGCACAAGCGGCAGCAGCTCATGCTCCTGGCCCAGCTCAACGGCACCCTCACCGGCACCGAGTTCCGCATTGGCCGTGCCATCACCATGCCCAAGTTCAAGGCCATCGGCTTCAAGCCCAAGCTCCACGCCTCGGACGCACAGGTCTCGCTCGACAAAAAGCTGGCCCTCCTCGGCATCGACGACAACCTCATTTCCTCCTACAAGTCGTTCATGACCAAGGTCGGCCTCGCGCCCAAGGATCTCTCACCAGACCCTCCCGAGCGGCTAGCCGAGCTGGAGAAGCTCCGCGCCGAGGCCGCCGCTACTGCCGCCGCCGAGCGTGCCGCCCCGCCCAAGCCGGCTCCTGCACCTGCACCAGCCACCAACGACGACAAGCTTGCCGCCTTTCTCTCCACAGTCTGATCGCATCGCTCTCTGGTCGCTGGCAGTAAACGCGCTACCCCTTCCCAGCCTTCTCTCTCTATCCATTGCACATTCTCCCTCCCCCCTCCCCCCTCCCACGTCCTCCGTCGCATTTGCAAGCCAATCCACGTGTCCGCCTCTCCGACGACATCCGAACCTTCCGTCGAACCAATGGTGAAAAAAGAGGCTTGTTTTTAGTGGCACGAAACTCGCACGAGGCACCAACAACTACTAACTCTCCACCATCTCTCTCTCCCACCGTCTGCGCCTCCACCATGGCGACACCCACCGCACCATTGTTAGACACGGAACGGCTGCCATCATCATCATCATCATTATCATCATCATCATCATTATCATCATTATCATCTCCTTATCCTTCTCGTTCGGCCAACTCGCCTCACCAGACAACAGCATGCCTGGCTTGTCGACCACGACCGCGCAGCCAACAAAGGTCGTGGTTCAGCGGCCGATGGAGCAGAGGCCCAACAAGTCATGGCTCTCGGAGCTCTTCGCCTCGTGGATTTACCCACTTATTGCTTTTGGCGTCAAGACGCCGCTTGAGCTCGATCATCTGCCTCCGCTTCCAGAGCATGAGGCTGCTGCTCATCACATCAACTCGTTTGCTGCCGTGGTAGGCGACTCGGCCAAGCTCCTCACGCCGCCACCGGCAGAGTGCGACTCGGGCGGCCGAGGCGGTGCAGGTAGTGCGACTCGGCGCGTCCCGCTGCTGCGGTATTTGATCAAGGCCTTCCGCGGCATCTTTCTGCTGCAGGCCGTTCCGCTCCTGTTTTCGATTGCCTTTCGGGTGGCAACGCCTGTGGCGCTACAGAAGCTGCTGGCCACGATCACCGAGCCCAACCCGAGTGCGGCGACGGCGTGGCGTGGCGTGGCGCTGGTGGCGCTTGTCTTTTGTCTCCGGGTCGGCAACACGGTGGCGCGCTCGCAGAACGGGCTGCTTGCCTATCGGGCGGCGCGCGGACTCAAGTCTGTCCTCCGTGCCCTGGTCTTTGACAAGTCGTTCCGGCTCGCGTCGCGGGCACACCGGGCGTACACTACCGGCGAAATCCTCAACATCACCTCGTCCGACACCAACAAGCTGCGGTCGATGGCGTGGGGGCTTAACGACCTCTGGTCGGCGCCGCTGCTCATCACCGGCTACATCTGCGTCCTGTACTGGATGTTCGGGCCGGCGGTCTTTGCCGGCATCGGCCTCCTCGCTGCCGTCGTCCCAGTCAACTACTACATTTTCAAGAAGAACGAGCGGTTCTGGGACGTGCTCTCCAAGCGCGGCGACGAGCGCGTCCGCATCATTACCGACATGCTCAACGGCATCCGTGTCCTCAAGCTCTTTGCCTGGGAGCCCATCTACGCGCGTAAGGTCAACGAGGTTCGCACGGTCCAGGTCGACATTCTGCGTTCGGTCAAGATCTACGATGCCTTTGTCGAGGTCATCTGGCTTGTCATGCCTACGGCCATGGCCCTCGTCACCATCGCAGTGTACGTCTACTCGGGCAACCCGCTCTCGACCGCCTCCATCTTTGCTGGCATCTCGACCTTCCACTCGATGACTCATCCGATGTTCAACCTCCCGTGGGCGTTCATGCGCCTGGTCGAGGCCCGCATCTCGCTTCGCCGCCTTGAGTCGTTCCTCTCCATGCCGCACCTCGACGGGCTCGACGAGCCGAGCGCGTCCGGCCTCGCCTTTGGCGGCGCCAAGTTTGAGGCTGCCACCCTTCGCTGGGGCCACATGGAGAAGCCGCCCGAGGAACGCGAGGCAGCCGATGCCGATGTGAGCACCTTGTGCTTGTCGTGCCGCCCATGCGGCGCATCGGGCCGATCAGCGGCTGCCGAGTATCATAAGCTCGGCACCGCCGACGGCGAGTCGTCTGCCGCTGACGACGAGGCTACAGGCGGCCAAGCTGCCAGCGGCAGCTCCGACTTTGAGCTCTTGCGCATCGACCTTGCCATTCCGCCCGGCGCACTCGTCGCAGTCGTCGGGCCGGTTGGCGCGGGCAAGTCATCGCTCCTCCACGCCCTGCTAGGCGAGATGGAGCGCGTGGCGGGCTCTGTGGCGGTGGCAGGCTCGATCGGGTATGTGGCGCAGAACGCGTGGATCCAGAACGCAACGTTGCGGGCGAACATCCTGTTCGGTGCGCCGCCGGACACCGCGCGGTACGCGCAGGTTGTCGCAGCGTGCGCGCTCCAGCAGGACCTTGAGCTGCTCGGCGGCGACTTGCTGGAGATCGGCGAGAAGGGCATCAATTTGTCGGGCGGCCAGCGACAGCGGGTGGCGCTGGCGCGTGCAGCATACGCCGACAAGGATGTGTACCTGCTCGACGACCCGCTGTCGGCGGTCGATCCGTTTTGCGCTTCCAAGCTCTTCGACGAGTGCATCACAGGACTGCTGCGGAACAAGACGAGGGTCCTTGTCACCCATTACCTGCACCTGCTCCCGCGAGTCGATTACGTGGTGTGCATGGATGGCGGACGGGTGGTCCAGCAGGGAACGTATGACGAGCTCATGGCGCAGCCATCGGGCGCGTTTGCCGAGCTCGTTGCGCGGCACCAGCACGCGGCCGAGGAGGCGGCGTCGGCGGGCGGGCTCACGCCTGTTGCGGCGCCGATCCCGTCGCCATCGGGCGGGCTCACGCTTGCTATTCCGGCAGCGACGCTTGACCACACCTTGGTCTCATCGCGCTGGTCGTCGGCCGGGCGGACGCCGTCGCCGGTGGCGCGCGACATGCACCTGCCACCAAGCGACTCGAGCGGTGTCTCACCACTGCTTGCAGCGCATGCCACAGTCCACCCGCGGATGGCCTTTCCGTCGCGCGACGATGGCCTCGTCTCTTGCTCGGGCTCAGGCTCGGGATCGGCTCTCGGGTTTGCGGCTGCGACAGCCTCGCCTGCCGAGCGCAACGCGGCGTTTGGCGCCGAAGCGAGCGGAAGCTCCGGCCGGCAGCTCGTGGAGGACGAGGACCGGGTGACCGGCTCGATCTCATGGCGGGTGTACAAGCGGTACCTGTCGGCGGCCGGGTGGCTCATCATTCTTGCTGCGCTCGGCCTCGCCTTTGTCTCGGTCTTTCTCTCGGTCGCCTCCGACTGGTGGCTGGGTGTGTGGTCGGACGATCCGGACGGCTCGATCGGGTTCTACCTGCGGGTGTACGGGGCATTGGCAGTGGGCCAGGCTGTGTTGTACCTGCTTGCCAACCTTGCGTACATGAAGCAGTGCGTGGCGGCGGCGACGATGTTCCACGACACGGCGCTGAGCGCGGCGCTCGACTCGTCGCTGGCGTTCTTTGAGAAGACGCCGTCGGGGCGGATCATCAACCGGTTTGGGTTCGACGTGGACCAGGTCGACGGCGAGCTCAACTGGCGAATCCGCGAGATTGCGTTCATGTTTCCGGTCATGGCGCTTGTCATGGTCCTTGTGCTCGTGGTGACACCAGCTGCGTTTGCAGTCTCGCTCGTCTCGCTCGTCCCGCTCTACTACATCCAGCGGATCCACCGGTCGTCACTTCGCGAGCTCTCGCGGCTGCAGTCGCAGTCGTACTCGCCGATCAACGCGCACATTTCCGAGACGCTTCGCGGGCTGACGACGATCCGGGCGTTTGGCCGTGGGCAAGCGTTCCGGGCCGCCAACCGGGCGCACATCGACGTCAACATGCAGACCTCGTACTACTCCAAGTACGCCGATGTGTGGTGCGACATCCGGCTGGAGATGACCGGCTCAATCGTCCTGGTCGTCACCTCGGTCCTCGGCCTGTTTTTCTTCAACTCGCACCCAACACTCACGGCGCTGGCCATTATCAACGCCGACCGGCTCATCGGGACGCTCGGGTGGGGGATCACATGCTTCTCGTGGCTTGAGTCGGCCATGGCCTCGGCCGAGCGGCTGACCTCGTTTGCTGACCTCGAACCTGAGCGTGAGACGGCACATCGGGCGCCGGTGGCCGAGCCGGCCTGGGCGCGGTCGGGCGCCATCGAGTACACCGAGGTGACGATGCGGTACCGGCCGGGCCTCCCGCTCGCGCTCTCGCGGGTCTCGTTCTCGATCAAGAGTGGCGAGAAAGTGGCAGTGGTGGGACGGTCGGGCTCGGGCAAGACCACGCTCATCGGGGTGCTGTTCCGGCTCCTCAATCTCGAGGCCGGCTCGATCGCCATCGGCGGCGAAGACATAGCGTCGATCCCACTGAGCGAGCTCCGGTCGGCGCTCTCGATCATTCCGCAGGAGTCGATCGTGTTCTCGGGCACGCTCCGCGAGAACCTTGATCCGCGGGAACGGTACACCGATGCCGAGCTATGGGATGCGCTGCACGCCGTCGGGCTCGCAGCCATGGTCGAGGGCATGTCCAATGGCCTGAGCACGGTCCTCCGCGAGAATGCGTCGGGCTTCTCAGTCGGGCAGCTGCAGTTGGTCTGCCTCGCGCGAGCGCTGCTCAAGCAGGCGCGGGTGCTGGTGATGGACGAGGCGACCGCGTCGTGCGACGCCGACACCGACGCCCAGATTCAGGCGACGATCCGGTCGTCACTCGCCGATGCCACGGTCCTCTGTATCGCGCACAGGCTCAACACCGTTGTCGACTACGACAAGGTCATCGTCATGGCCGCTGGCGAGCTCGCCGAGTTTGACTCGCCAGCCGCCCTCCTCGCCACTCCCGGCTCAATTTTCGCCTCGATGGTCGACGAGACCGGGCCCGAGACCGCCGCCCACCTTCGGCGGCTGGCCAACGATGCCGCTGCCCGGCGCCGTGCTGTCCTGCTGTAGCTCATTGGTCATTTGTAGCTTTTTCCAAGGTGGTCTCTCAAGTTTTGTCTTCAAGTAACACCACACAACACAAGCACAGGCTGGCGATCCACCCACCCACCCGCCCACTCACCCCAAGCATATCGTTGTTTGGGGTGGTGCCGTCGATCGGCGTGCGCCTCAAAATGTTGTGCCTGCAACCTGCGCGCCGAGCTCCCGCATCGAGTCCGCTGTCCAATGTGTGGCGTTCGAACGCCGCGTCGAGTCGGGCCAGCCGGGCCAGGTCGTCACCATCTCTCTTTCAGTGGACGGACACCAATGCTTCGCGCCACACTGACAGTGGCGTCGGCTTACCTCCGGCCTTCGCTAGTTCGGAGTCTTAACGTGTTTGCGCATGCGCCGCCTGCCTCTGCCGCCACGGTCTTTGCCCGTAGCTTCAGCATGGCTACCCCCGCTTGTGACGCGGCGTACAAGTCCAAGGCCAACTCGCCGGCCAACGCTGTGCTCTCGGGCACGGCCGCAAACTGGGTTGACGCCCAGTACGCCGCCTGGCAGCTCGACCCAGAGTCGGTCGGGTCCGAGTGGGCAGAGTACTTTGCCCGCATTGACTCTGGCGTCCACGCATGTATGTATCCCTCCCCTATCTCCATACCCATCCCCCCTTTGAGACCCCCCTACTCTCCGCTTCTCACCGCAGACCGTCATTCGCCATTTTGATCAACCACGCGATCAAAGCGCGAGCCACCAAGTCTATGGCCTTTTCCTGAAGCAGCCACCGCCCCCCCCCCCCCCCGCCCCTCCCCCCCTCCCCCCTCCCCCTCCCCCTCCCCCTCCCCCCTCCCCCCTCCCCCTCCCCTCCCCCCTCCCTCCTCCTCTACTATACTCACCCATGTTTGTGGCTTCTGCAGCCGACGCGTTCTCGCCCAAGCCCGTGGCTGGACCGGCGACGTCGGCGGGAGTGTCTGCCGGCGAGCTCGACCTGACGGTCAAGGTCATGCTGCTGATGCGTGCGTTCGAGGTGCGCGGGCACTCGCTGGCCAAGACGGATCCCCTGGGTCTGGACGCCAACGAGACGCCGCCGGAGCTCTCTGTCGAGTACTACAACCTTTCGCCAGAGACGCGGTTCTCGCCGAACATGCTCGGGCAGTACGGAGCATTTCTGGGCGGGGATGAGATGTCGATTGCCGAGCTTGTGGCCAAGCTCCGGTCGATCTACTGCACAACGCTCGGGTTCGAGTACATGCACATCCAGTCGCGCGACGAGTGCGACTTTATCCGCAACGTGATCCAGAACCGCAGCGAGTCTGACGTGTTCAAGTTTAGCAAGGAGGACAAGGTGCGGCTGTTTGACCGGCTGACGTGGTCGGAAGGCTTTGAGACCTTCCTTGGGCGCAAGTTTGGCGTGGAGAAGCGGTTCGGGCTCGACGGGTGCGAGGCACTCATTCCGGGCATGAAGGAGCTCATCGACGTTGCTGCGGCGCAGGGTGTGAAGGACATTGTGATGGGCATGCCGCACCGCGGGCGGCTTAACGTGCTCGCCAACGTGGTGCGCAAGCCGATGGAAAAGATTTTCCGCGAGTTTGCGGGCGTGCCTGCATCGTCAACGCTCAACATGGGCTCTGGCGACGTCAAGTACCACCTCGGGGCGTCGTACACGCGGACGACCAAGAACGGCGAGGAGGTGCACATTTCGCTGCTGCCGAACCCGTCGCACCTGGAGACGGTCAACACGGTGGTTCTGGGCAAGGTGCGGTCGAAGCAGCACGAGCGGCTGCAGAAGGACCGGTCGCGGGTCATGCCTGTCCTGCTCCACGGTGACGCGGCGTTTGCCGGGCAGGGCTTGGTGTACGAGACGCTGCACCTCTCGGAGCTTCCCAACTACACTGTGGGTGGATGCGTGCACATCATTGTCAACAACCAGGTCGGGTTTACCACGGATCCGTCCGACGGGCGGTCGTCGCCGTACTGCACCGACGTGGCCAAGACGCTGGCCATTCCGGTGGTGCACGTCAACGGCGACGATCCAGAGGCTGTGGCGTCGTCGATGCGGTTTGCGGCGCTGTGGCGGGCCAAGTACCAGCGCGACATTGTCATCGATGTAGTGTGCTACCGGCGGTACGGGCACAACGAGGTGGACGAGCCGCGGTTCACGCAGCCGCTGATGTATGCGGCGATTGCGCGGCACCCCACGGTGCTGACCTCGTACCGCAAGGCGCTGCAGGAGCAGGGCGTGCTCTCGGAGTCTGAGGCGCAGGCGATCATCGACAAGACGACGTCTGTGCTCGAGGAGCGGTACTCGGGCCTTGCCGGGGACGCGGCAGAAAAGGTGACACGGTCGTCGCTGCTCTCGCAGTCCAAGTCGTGGGGCCACCTCAAGTCTGCGGACGTGCTCTCGATTGCCAAGAACACCAACGTCTCGCGCGAGGTCATTGATGAGGTGGCGCGTGCCATTACGACTGCGCCGCCGGAGGGCTTCAACCTCCACCGGACGCTCAAGCGGATCATCGACGCCAAGAAGGCGATGTTCGAGGACGAGGGCGCGATCGACTGGGCGACGGCCGAGGCGCTCGCCTTTGGCTCGCTCCTCCTCGAGGGCACGCACGTCCGGCTCTCTGGGCAGGATGTGGAGCGTGGGACGTTCTCGCACCGGCACGCGGTGTGGCACGACCAGAAGACCAACGAGCTCTTTGTGCCACTCAACTACATCCGGCCAGACCAGTCTGCCGAGGACGACGTGGAGGAGCGGATCTCGATCGGCAACTCGCCGCTCGACGAGTATGCGGTGATGGGCTTTGAGCTCGGGTACGCCATGGACTCACCGGACTCGCTTGTCCTGTGGGAGGCGCAGTTTGGCGACTTTGCCAACGGGGCGCAGGTCATGATCGACCAGTACCTCTCGTCGTGCGAGCAGAAGTGGCTCTACCAGCTCGGCCTTGTCCTTCTCCTCCCGCACGGGTACGACGGCATGGGCCCTGAGCACTCGTCGGCGCGACTGGAGCGGTTCCTGCAGATGTCGGACCAGGACCCGGACGTGCTGCCCAACGACGAGACGCTTGTGCAGGACCACAACTGGCAGGTGTGCAACATCACGACGCCGGCCAACTACTTCCATGCACTCCGGCGGCAGATTCACCGCGAGTTCCGCAAGCCGCTCATTGTCATGTCGCCCAAGTCGCTGCTCCGGCTCGCCGAGGCCGCGTCGCCGATCTCGGACTTTACCGATGTCGACTCGTTCCAGATGGTCCTCCCCGACGCCCGCGCCGCCGACGCCGCGCCGGCGCCCGAGAACATTGAGCGCGTGGTCTTCTGCTCCGGCCAGGTCTACTACGACCTCGCCAAGGAGCGGGCCGACCGCGGCCACGACACGACTGCCATTGTCCGCATTGAGCAGCTCGCGCCGTTCCCGACCAACCACGTCGTCGAGCAGCTGAAGCTGTACCCCAACGCCAAGCCGGTGTGGGCCCAGGAGGAGCCGAAGAACATGGGCGCCTTCTTCCATGCCAAGCAGCACATCGCGACGGCTCTCCGTGCCGCCAACCGCGCCGATGAGAGCATCATCTATGCTGGCCGCCCCGCTGCGGCCTCGCCGGCCACCGGCTGGAAGCACGTCCACAAGGCCGAGCTCCGCCAGCTCGTTGACGACACCTTTGAGCTTGACGGGGTGCGGACGGCTGCGCCGGCTACCGAGTAGTGTCTGAATGAAGCCAGAGCTGTTTGCCGACGCCGATTGGCCGGCTCGAGCGAGCGCAGAGGGGGGGGGGGGGGGGAAGGTTTAATTGCCCTGACCGGGCCCACGCTTCTTCTGGCGCTCGAGGTCGCGGAACTCGAGCGGGACGGTGAGCGAGATCGAGTAGGCAGGACCTGAGATAGCAGCGACTTCCGAGTCTGCGGAGCGCTTACGCTTGGTGCCTGAGCCGGCCTTACCCTTGCGGATGATGGTGCAGCCGAGGGTCTTGGCGTGCTGCAGGAGGCGCTGGATGGAGATACCGAGGTCGAGGCGGAGCTTGTGGACGATGACGGGCGAGAGGAGGAAGCCGTGGTAGTGGAGGAGGAGGACAATAACATAGGCCATGGCCTTGTGCTGATCGCGCTGCGAGCGGCGGGAGTGTGTGACGGGCTTGGCGGCCGAGTCGCCGCGGCCTGGGCGGACGGTGTGGGTGAGAAACTCCTTGAGGATGCGCTCAACGAGAACAGATGGGACGTCGAGGGCAACCTTTTCGTTGACTAGCTCGATGACGCGCTTTCTCTGGTTGACGGCCGAAGCGCGGGCGCGCGAGAGCTCGATGAGCACGGTGGCCATGGTCAGGGTGGCGGCCATGCGGCGCTTGTCCGACGGCGACTTGGCGGCGGAGAGGCTGGTGAGCGATTCGGCGATGACCGACGGCAGCTGCTCAACCCAGTCGGATGGCAGCGCGCCCTGGCTCAGCGACTTGGCCTCGTCGACGAGCGGGCGGGCGTCAACGGCCTGCATGTCAACCATGGGCAGTATCCGCTCCAGCGGGTACGCGTCCTCGGGCTCGGTGGCAGCCATGTTGAACGGCGGGATGGGCTTCTGGGTGAGGAACTGCTCGTCGAGCTCTGACTTGGACGCCGTCTCGAGCGCCTTGGCCTCGAGCGCCGACTCGAGGACCTTGCCGACCAGCGGTGATTCGAGCTTGTCCTCGGAAATGACCTGCTGGCGGGCCTTGATCAGGCCGCTCTTGTTCCGCTGGTCGGCAAAGGTGGCGACGAGCCGGTCGCGCCCGGCGAGCGTGTCCATGTACTCGATCGGGGCCGAGTGATCCTGGGCCTTGAACTTGGCCACCATTGCGTCGTCGATCTCCTTGGCCGCATCCAGCATCTGCATCACCTCGTACGCATGCGATGCCTTGTACAGGGTCATCGACTCGTCGCTCCCCACCACACCGACGTAGTACTCGGAGCCCATTGCGCTGGTGCCTTGCGTTGTACCAGCGTACGTGTATCCGTCCATCTTGCACTCGAGGGATCCTACGGGAGGAAGAGGGGGTGAGTGGGAGGGGATGATAGCGGCGATGGGTGAATGGGATGGTGTGTGTGTGGTGGGGGTGGGGGGGGGGGAGGTGGTGGTGGTCGTCTCCTCCTGCGTGTCCCTCTCCCTCTCCCTCCCATCAATCCATCCTCAGTGGAGAGAGGGGACAGGGGGAGAGGGGGAGAGGGGGAGAGGGGGAGAGGGGGAGAGGGGGACAGGGTGTGTGGGGCGAGAGTGGGGAAAGGGTAGGGGGTAGGGGGTAGGGGGTAGGGGGTAGGGGGTAGGTGGTGGGAGAGGGCATACCGTTGCGGCCACGGGTGGTGTGGGAGAAGGAGACCGTCTCGCCGGCGGCGGCTGCGGCATCCAGGGCGGCGGGAGGGCCATTGCGGAAGGCGGCAACAATGGGTGCATGCGCTCCCACAGCAGTCATCATAGCAACAGGTGGGATGGTGCAGTACGTGACACTCAGTCGGCTTGGTTCGCCCATCTTGTACGCCACCGAGTGAGGTGTCTTGCCCTTACTACCGCCCAGCTCTCTCCCTCTCTCTCTCCCCCATTCCCTCTCTCGGCTCGCGGCCGTCAGTTTCGCCCCTCGGCTTGTCCACACCTGTTGGGCATGCGACGAGATCGGCTGGCAGCTGTTCTCTCTCTCTCTCTCACACACACATACATCCACAGAGAGGCATGGGGATAGCTACCGTGGGTGGGATAGCAGCTGGTTTAGCCAGTGCGCGCCGCGGGGAGGGGGCGCATGATTGCGTAGAGGGGGGGGGAGGGGGGAGGGGGGGGGGGGAGGGGTACATGCGAGAACCGACCGACACACAGACCGATTGGTGTTCGCGTCGCTGGGACAGCGTACGGTGGCCGGGGTAGTAAACGCGTGGCTCGGTGGCAGTAAAGCTTGCCACGCGAGAGGGAGCGAGAGCAAGAGCAGTCGTCGCCCCGCGGTGAGACCAGGGCGAGAGTGTGCGAGCATGCGCATCACTCCTCGTTGGACGAGACAGCGATGACCATTTGCTCGGTGAGGTCGATGGTCGCGCCCGAGTTGATGGCATGCTCAAACTCTTCGTACGAGATCTTGCCGTCGCCATCCAGATCTGACTCCATGATGGTCTTGTCGACGATCTGCTGCAGCTGGATGTCGTTAAGGTTTGTGCCAACCATCATCTTGAGGACCTGGAACAGCTCACCATTCGAGATGAACCCGTCGCCGTCCATGTCGTAGACCTTAAAGGCAAACTGGAGCTTGCGCGACTCATCGCCGCGCATAGCAAAGAGCGAGAGGCCCGTGATGAACTCTTCAAACGAGACCATCTGGTCGTTGTCCGTGTCAAAGATGTCCACCACTCTCGAGACCAGCGGATTCATCTGTAGCTCCGGAATGAGCAGGAACTCCTCCTTGGACAGCTGGCCGTCCTCGTTGGCGTCCAGCCGCTTGAAGCCCTTGGCCAGCAGCCGCAGCTCATCCTCCGTGACTACGCCCATTCCCCCACACCACACCACACCATAGCCACCGCCACATGCCATGAGTCACAACACCCATTCTTAGAGTGGTGGTAGGGGAAGGGAAGGTATTCTCCTCCCCTCCCCCTCGGCCCCTCCCCCCTGTCCCGCCCCCCCCAAGCCGCCACCCGCCGTGCCACCGACCGCGTCCCGCTCTCCCTTCCCCACACCCCAGGCATCCCCCCCTCCTTTTCTCCTCTCTTCCCCCCCTACTACCCCCCATTGCACCCGCTGCTTCTCCCCCCTCCCCCCCCCCCCCCTCCCCCCCCCTTCTCCCTGTCCCCCCCCGCCAAGGGACTGCCTTCCCCGCACGCGGTCGCAGCGAACAGTGAAAAAACAACGTTCGTCACCGACGACAGCCACGGCCAACCCGACCCACACGGCCCCTACCCCCCCCCCCCCCCCTACGACGTAAAGGTCTGTTCGTACAGCTGGTTGTCAGTTGCAACTCCTCCACTTGATGAGAGGTCAGCGTCGAGCTCTCCTGGCCCATACTGGAGTTATGCGGTAGCCGGTGGCAGAGCGGTGTCTGTCTCTGGTGCCGGCTTTGGGCCCTCGCCTGGGCTCTGGCCCTGGCTCGGACCGTGGCCCTGGCGCTGGCTCGGCCGGCCTGTTGAACGGAGATGGATGAGGATGATGAGGCAAAGAAGAGAACGATGTCATATATTGACCACGCTATCCTCACACACCTGTATTCTGCCGTTCTTCCATCATCATCTGCCTCTAACCGAGTCCCCGCGGTCCAACCTGTGACCGAGCCTGACCAATGAGCGGTTGTTGTCCCTCGTTCGTTCGCTCGTTCGTTCGCTCGTTCGTTCGTTCGAGGCCTTTGTTGTCGGTTCGTCCCCCAACATTGGCCTGCCACCGAGCCCATTCGGGTGGCAACTGGCGGGACAGTCACACCACCGCTCCCCATACACCAACAATGGCGTCTCAGGAATACGACCTTCTTCGTACGTGCCCAGAGCAAGAACGCACCTTCCTCCCCCTCCTCCGCTCCATTCGCCCCTCCCCTTCCCTCCGCCCTCCCCCCCCCCCTCCCCCTTCCCTTCTCTTCCTCCCGTACTCTGTTAGCCAGTATGGAAGGCTTGTTCGGGGCGGTGGCGGGGTGGTGGTGACTGGCTGGCGTCGCCCCTCCCCCCCCGTCCCCACCAAGCGACGTTCAAAAAAAGCCATGGAAGGGCGCGCCCAAGCACATGCTTCCTACCCCCATACAGACTCACCCACAAACCGTACTCCCCCCACACCCCATGGCACAACGGGTATCAAACCCACAGTGAAGGTATGTGCCTCTTCCTCCCTCCCCTCTTCCTCTTTCTCCCCGGCTTCCCCTCTTGTCCACCCCCACGTGTCGCATGTGAGGAGGTCGTTCTCGATCATCCCCCCCTCCCCTCCCTCCCTCCCTCCCTCCCCCCCCCCCCCTCCCCCCTTTCCAGTCCCTACCCCCTTTCCCCACCAGACCATCTCCCATCATCCTCACCTCAATTGTATCTCTACCACACTCACTCTCTTCATTCCTCCCTCTCTCTTCCTTGCAGCTCCTCCTCATCGGTGACTCTGGTGTTGGCAAGTCGTGCCTCCTTGTCCGCTTTGCTGTACGTAACGACCACGAGCCGTTCTCTCCCTCCCTCCTCTTCCCCCTCCCCCCTTTCTCTCCCGTCCCCACCCTCCTTCCTCTCTCCCTCCTCTCCACTGTGATTGTGTGTGTGTGATTGTGTGTGTGTGTGTGTGTGTGTGACTCACTTGCGCTGTGTACATTGTGCGGGGGATAGGACGACACCTTCACCGACTCGTACATCTCGACCATCGGGGTCGACTTTAAGATCCGGACGGTGAACCTGGACGGCAAGGTCATCAAGCTGCAGATCTGGGACACTGCTGGACAGGAGCGGTTCCGGACGATCACATCGTCGTACTACCGCGGCGCGCACGGCATCATTGTGGTGTACGACGTGACGGAGCAGGAGTCGTTCAACAACGTCAAGCAGTGGCTGCAGGAGATCGACCGCTACGCCTCCGACTCGGTCAACAAGCTCCTCGTCGGCAACAAGAACGACCTGGTGGACAAGAAGGTTGTCGACACGGCCCAGGCCGAGGACTTTGCCAAGCAGCTCGACATCCCCTTCCTCGAGACCTCGGCCCGCAACCGGACCAACGTCGAGGAGGCCTTTATGACCATGGCCGCCGAGATCAAGAACCGCATGGCATCGTCGGCGCCCATCGGCGAGACTGGTGCGCCCAAGCTCAAGATCAACCCCAAGCCCGCGTCGGGCAAGCAGGGCAAGGGCGGGTGCTGCTGATGCCTCGTCTCTGATTCTCTGCGATCTCCCCGCCTCCTCTCCATTCTCCTCCTCCCTCTCCAACAACCCCAACCCCCAACCCCTCGTTCCGGACATAAACCACCCGGTTGCACTCGGTCGCAGCCACGAGCGCCTTTCAGATGACGTTGTTCAGCCTCAGCATGGAGAAAAAGATGAGGATCGAGCCCACAACCTTGAAGACGATGTTGAACGGCGAGACCTGAGCTGCGCGTTCGTGGGCCGTCGCTCCGATGAACCGCGGGAGAACGAGGGTGACCATCAGCGAGCCGACCCATGAGAGCAGGATCCGCGCCAGCGTGAGCTCGAGGTACACCCGCGAGAGGTCGTACTCGATGGTGAGATAAAAGTAGATAAAGGCGCGTGCGTTGAGGAAGAACCGGTAACACCACATGTTGACGACTGAGAGCTCCGACCACGCGCCACGAAGCGAGACAAGGAACGGCTCGTTGACGTCGGCGCCCGAGTCAAACACCCGCGACGCGCCAGGCACGACCGAGAGCAGCGCAAAGAGCGGGTAAAAGGTGAACGGGAGCAAGATCTGATCAAGCGAGGTGTAGCCAAAGGCGTTGATACGGTACTGGTCGTTAAAGTACTTCTGTGCGCAGAACCAGGCGGCGTACGCCACCGAAAGGAGCGCAAACGGGATGACGAGCGAGAGCCACGACCAAAGCTGCGCGCTGATCGTTGGCGCCGCATCGGCCGGCACGACCCCGCCCAGCAGCAGACTTGCTTCATCGGCGCTGTCTGAACCCTCGTTGACCGAGAACGGGTGGGTGCCAGGCGCCGGCGGCGTGGCGAGCATGCCACGCCGGGCCGGGGCGATTTCGGCGTCGGCAGTAGCGGCACGGGCACGTGCAGCGTCGGCCGGGTCCGGCACCCGCTTCTCAATGAGTGAGAGTAGAGCCCCAGCAATGCCGAGAACGTAGACGATGGGCTCGATGGGCTTGCCGACCGGGAGGCGGAAAAGGTGCTCGAGCGGAGCGATGAGGAAGGATGAGGCGAGCGAGGCGATGACGAGAAAGACAAGGCCAAGCGGCTCCTTGTACAGCATGGTCTCACAGAGATAGTACAAAATGTTGAGGGCTGCGTTGAGGAGGAGCTTCGGATGAGCAGCGATGGCCGATGGGAGCGAGCCCGGGCCCTGGGCAGGGCAGTTGATGCGGGTGCAGTTGGCCGACGAAGCAGAGCAGTCGACATGTTTGTGCTCCACATCGATTTCCCGGTAGCAGGGCGTGGTATGGCGGCCATCGTAGACAGCGCCTGTGATGGAAGACGGGAGAAAGAGCTGCGCAGCGCCGAGGAGAACAGCGATCTGGAGAGCGGTGAAGAGCGTCATGGCCAGCAGCATGCGCCTCCGTGACTTGCCGTGGTTGACACGGATGACACGCTGGCCGAACGCGTCGCCGACCACAGACATGGCCTGCGTGCCGAGCACAAGCCACAGCGGCGGCAGATGGCCTCCCATATCGTTCCTTGCCAAGTCAAGTTCTTGTCGCTTGTCGCGTTGCTCACACTCGTCCTCCAAGGGATACTCTGGTCTGCTCTGCTCTACTCAAAGTGGTGGTGGAGGCGGAGAGGCTGACGTGGAGCCGCCATCCGCCATCCGCCGCTGCCCATCGCTTTCCGCCCTGTTGACGCCGATTGCGGCTAGACGCGAGGGCGCGAGTGAGCGAAAGAAGGACACCGATGGTGGGACGTTCTCCATGCATGGTAGCCGGGCGTACGTGGAGAAGCTTGATCGGTCGAGCCTTTAATCGTTCGATCCTGCATTAATCGCTCTGTTCGCATAATCGTTCAATCCTGCATTGTTCGCATAATCGTTCAATCCTGCATTGTTCGCATAATCGTTCAATCCTGCATTGTTCGCATAATCGTTCAATCCTGCATTGTTCGCTTAATCGTTCAATCCTGCATTGTTCGCTTAATCGTTCAATTCATGGCGCAATGATTCGTTTCCTCACATGGAAATATTGGGACATTGGCACTGTCGCCGTCAGACGGAACGAGGAAACGCCATCTGTCGGCCACACAGCACTCGAGCCTCTATCATGGTGTACTCGCAGGGCGGTTCTTACGGTAGGTAGCAGAGGAGCAGAGTCAGAGAGATGGGATACACCCATGTCCCGGCTATGCGCATGTGGGGGGAAGCGGGGGGGCGGGCTGTCTGTAGGGGGAGGGGCGGCTGCCTTTGCTGCGGGGCACCACTGTTCGCCATCCAACCGAGATGGGAATGGCCGACGACCAGCCGGTGGGTGAAGGCGATAAGGAAGAGGCTGGGACAGGCGAAAGCCTTGACCAAAATCTCTGAAAGTAGCTAGGGATGTTGTCCATGGAAGGAACCAGTAGTGGTTGTGAGAGCAAGTCGCTGCATGGGTTATCCATGATGGTAGCCCCGGTAGTGGGGAAGGGGGGTAAGACTGCCCCACTTGGCCCGCACCATCCATTGGCCATTGGCATTATTTTTGTCTGCACAGTATGCGGCATGATGACTGGGAAGGGAGGGGGGGGAGGGAGGGAGGAGGGGAGGAAGAAGGGCATGGCCTTGCGTGTGGGTATATATATGTATGTATGCATATGTATGTGTGGGGTGGCAGGTATGACTCACTGAGCGTGTTCATGCTCTCTCTCTCTCTCTCTCTTGCGGTGACTGGTGCTGGGCGGAGAATAGGCGGGCGCAGTGGCGGCTACGGTGGTGGCGTGCAGAAGGCCAAGTCGCGGTTCGGCGGCGGTCGTGGCGGCGGTCGCGGTGGGCGCGGTGGGTTCGGCGGTCGTGGCCGCGGTCGTGGCGGTGGGCGCGGTGGGTTCGGCGGTCGTGGCCGTGGGCGCGGCGGCGGGCGCGGGCGCGGGCGTGGCCGCGGGCGTGGCGGTGGTCGCGGCGGTGGCCGCGGCGGAGCCCGCGGCGGATCCAAGGTGTACGTGGAGCCGCACCGGCACAAGGGCGTCTTCATCGCGCGTGGCGGCAAGGAAGACATGCTTGTGACCAAGAACCTTGTGCCTGGCGAGGAGGTGTACGGTGAGAAGCGGATTTCGATCGAGGACGCCGAGGGCGCCAAGACCGAGTACCGCGTGTGGAACCCGTTCCGCTCCAAGATCGCTTCGGCCATTCTCTGCGGTGTCGAGAACACGTGGATCCACCCCGGCGACAAGGTGCTGTACCTGGGCGCCGCCTCGGGCACCACCGTCTCGCACGTCGCTGACGTTGTCGGGCATGAGGGCTGCGTCTACGCCGTCGAGTTCTCGCAGCGCTCCGGCCGTGACCTCCTCGAGATGGCCAAGAAGCGGACCAACGTTATCCCCATCATTGCCGATGCTCGCCACCCGCAGAAGTACCGCATGCTCGTGGGCATGGTCGACACCATCTTTGCCGATGTCGCTCAGCCCGACCAGGCGCGTATTGTCACCATCAACGCCCAGTACTTCCTCAAGAACGGCGGCCACTACATGATCTCCATCAAGGCCAACTGCGTCGACTCGACCGCCGCGCCCGAGGCCGTCTTCGCCTCGGAGGTCTCCAAGCTCAAGGAGGCCAAGCTCAAGCCGCGTGAGCAGATCCCGCTCGAGCCCTACGAGCGCGACCACGCTGTTGTCGTCGGTACCTACCGCCCCAAGATGGTTTAACTTGACCGTGCACTCTCTCATCTCAACAAAAGAAGTAGTAATCGCCCTTTCCCTCCCCCTCAAACACACTACGCCGGCCCAATATGTGTCCGCGTCCCTGACGACGTCGGCCATACCACCGATACCCCGGACGTAGACCACTCTGCTAGGTGTGAAGAGGTCGACAACATCGTCCTTCTTGACACATACTTGAATCGCCATTTCCTTCCTTGTCTGGCAGGGGGCCGGCACAACGCGGCGGGTCCGGCACAATACCCCATTGCAGAGCGGGCCACTTGTCACCGAATACGACCATCTGCAGGCGCTACAGGCAAGAAACCCACACTAGCAAGCAATTTGTCTTCCATGGATCCAGAAGTAGAGGAGGCCGCACGCATTCTTGCTGCCCTTCACCTTGGACAAGAAGCAGTCGAGGATGGCAGTGACTCGAAGCGGGCCGTAGAAGATTCGGCCGACAGAAAGCAAGCGGTACGGACGGAAGGGAGGGGGAAGGGAAGGGAGGGGAGGGGGTAGGGAGGCACGGTCATGGGAATGGATCAATGGGCATGCATCCACGTTCTAGGATCCACTTACTTGAACTCGATCTGTCTTGATCTCTCTCTCTGCGTCTGTATGTGTTTGTGATCGATGGCCACCTGTGGGATTTGGGTTTGCGATTGAACTTGTGCTTGTTCTTCTGCTTGTGCTTGTGCTTGTGCTTGTGCTGGCGATGCCGATGCCGATGGCGATGAACGTGGATTGCTTGTGTACTCTCTCACACCGCGGTGGCCTCAGAAGACCGATCAGGAGTTCGGCGGCGGTCGTGGCGGCGGGTTCGGCTGGCGTGGTCGTGGGCGTGGGCGCGGACGCGGGCGTGGCGGGTTTAGCCGTGGCGGCGGGTTCGGCTGGCGTGGTCGTGGGCGTGGGCGCGGACGCGGGCGTGGAGGGTTTAGCCGCGGCAGCGGGTTTGGCTGGCGTGGTCGTGGGCGCGGCGGCGGGCGCGGGCGCGGGCGTGGCGGGTTTGGCCGTGGTGGCGGCCGAGGCGGTGGGCGCGGCGGCGCGCACAGCGGATTCCACAGAAAGCACAAGGAGCTTGTGGTGCCGCACCGGCTCGACGGCTTCTTCATTGCGCACGGCAAGGACGACAATCTTGCGACCAAGAGCCTCGTGCCTGGCGAGGAGGTGTACGGCGAGAGGCGGATCTTGATCGAGGACGCCGAGGGCGCCAAGACCGAGTACCGCGTGTGGAACCCGTTCCGCTCCAAGATCGCTTCGGCCATTTTTTGCGGTGTCGAGAACACGTGGATCCAGCCTGGCGACAAGGTGCTGTACCTGGGCGCCGCCTCGGGCACCAACGTCTCGCACATCGCTGACGTTGTCGGGCATGAGGGCTGCGTCTACGCCGTCGAGTTCTCGCAGAGCTCTGGCGACGAGCTCACCGAGATGGCTACAAAGTGGACCAACGTCATTCCCGTCATCAGCGACGCTCGCCACCCACTCCAGTACCGCATGCTCGTGGGCATGGTTGACACTATCGTTGCCGATCTCGACCAGCCCGACCAGGCGCGTATTGTCACCATCAACGCCCAGTACTTCCTCAAGAGCGGTGGTCACTACATGGTCGTCATCAATGCCGACTGCATCGACACGACCATCCCCCCCGATGCTGTCTTTGCCTCGGAGATCTCCAAGCTCAAGGAGGCGAACCTCAAGCCGCGCGAGATGGTCCAGCTTGAGCCCTACAAGCGCAACCATGCGGTTGTCGTCGGTTCGCACCACATCAAGGAGGAACCTTCTTGCCCATCAAGCACACAGTGATCGGATAGTCCGCAGCCGGTGGCATACGGATGCAACGGAAAGGATAGTGTGGGTAGGGGGTGATCATTGAGTTTATTGAGCCGGATCCCTTCGCGCCAGTGTTTGCCGAGCCAGTACTCATCGAGCCGCCCATTGAGCCGCCCATCGAGCCGCCCATTGAGCCGCCCATCGAGCCGCCCATCGAGCCGGATCCCTTCGCGCCAGTGTTTGCCGAGCCAGTACTCATCGAGCCGCCCATCGAGCCGGATCCCTTCGCGCCAGTGTTTGCCGAGCCAGTACTCATCGAGCCGCCCATTGAGCCGCCCATTGAGCCGCCCATCGAGCCGGATCCCTTCGCGCCAGTGTTTGCCGAGCCAGTACTCATCGAGCCGCCCATCGAGCCGGATCCCTTCGCGCCAGTGTTTGCCGAGCCAGTGCCCAGCGAACCAGTTTTCATCAAGGCAGTGCCTGTCCCTGGTAACCCCCCTCCCCCCCCCCCCCCCCCCCCCGGCCTGCCCAGCCACCGCCAACCGTCCCTCTCTCACCCCACGGCAGGCACTTGTCGCCGACTGCAAGCTGCCGCTCCCCTTCCCCCTCTGCAAGCAAGAGTGCGAGACTACAGAGGCACCAACCATGGACACATCAATAGGCGAGGCCACCCATGAGCTTGCTGCCCTCCACAGTGAGCTGACGGCACTGGCGGCCAAGGAGCGCGAGATCGGGGGCGCCACAGCCGCGACCAAGAAGGAGCGGGAGGTACGGGCAAGGGAGGGTGAGAGGGGGGTGGGCATGGGCATGGTCATGGGTATGGGAATGGGAATGGGTATGTGTGCGGTCACTCACTCTGTCTTGCTCTATATCTCTCTCTATGTGTGTCGGGGTGTGTGTGTCTCTCTGTGCGTTGACGTGGCGGTTGTTGTTGCTACCTGCGTGGGCTATGGCCTCATGACGGTGGTGGTGATGACGGTGGTGATGATGGCGATGGCGATGGCGATGGTGATGATGATGATGATGGCGATGATGATAATGGTGATGTGGACGTGATGTTGCGGATAGGCGCTTATGGAGCGGTTTCGGAGCACAAAGGCATTGGTCGAGACCCTCAAGGATGAGGCGTCGATAGACAACAAGGCCGACGCCTCGTCGCTGCTGGCGGGAGAGGCCAACGATGCCGAGGCTGCTGCCGCAAGCGGCCGGTCTTCAAGGCCAGACAAGACGGCGGCAGCGTATGGAGAGGCGGTCATTGCCCGGCGCCTGGCGTCGTCGTTCACTGCAGACATGCTGACCGACAAGGGCGCCGACGTCTCGTTTGACATGGCCCAGCGCAAGTTTGTCGGCCTCACCTCGGCTTCGCCGTTCCCGGCCACACCGCCGGTCTCGCTCGATACCCCGCGCCGGGTTGTTGTCGACTACATCCCACAGATCCGCAACCAGCTGCAGGAGGCCTTGCGCGAGAATGTGGCGCTCCGGGAGGAACTCGCCGCTCTCAAGGCCTCTATGATCGAATCCAGACTCTCCGAGTCGTTTGCAATCCACTCCACACCCGGGCCCGACAGACTCGGCCCACCGCCGCCCACCCCGGGCCTTCCGCCCATCCTCACCACCGTTGACACCCCGCGTCGCGACACCCCGACCCCATCCGGCCGCCAAGACACCCCAATCCCTGACAACGGCACGCCCGACTCGCCGTCGCGGCCAGGCCTCGCCCCGCCGCGTCGCCTCTCGCAGGCCGCAAGTCCCACAAGCCCCACCAGCGCAGCGCCTGTCGCCTCTCTCACCTCCACCGCTCCCTCTGCCACCGCGGCCGCGGCGCCGCCCGTTGTTATTACCAAGACTTCGAGCCTGGGCGCCTGCCTTGCCGTCCTCAACCTCGTCCTCGCCACCTTCATCCTCCTCCTTCTCGCCTGCCTCTCCGCCGTGGTCCTTGACCACCACGGCCTGGCGTATCCCGGCCATCGGCCCACATGATCCCCTCCTTGCCCATGTCCATGCCCCATGAACAAAACGATCGTGTCTCCCGACCCCACCTGCCCAGCTCTGCGCCCACACCCACACCTCTCTCTCTCTCTCGCACCCATGCCGCAGATCGCTGCGCGGGCACCCGCAACCGCCATCCTCATCGCCACCGTCATCATTCTTGCCTCGATCGTCAACAGCACCGCCGCCGATGACATCCTTCTGAGCCATCCCAAGCTGCTGGCGGCCAATGCGACGTTCAACGCGGCGTTTGGCCTCGCCCGCGAGTCGGCCGGCGAGCACGCCCGGGCCAAGTTTGAGGCTGCGGCTGCATTTGCTGGCGAAGCTGCAGCTGATCTCTGTCCGCCGACCCTCTTTGACGATGACGGCGAGGCCGTCGACGACGATCCGTGCCTCCTCGCGTCGCAGATGCACGCCGACGCGCTGCGCAACGCCGCGTTCATGGCCAACAAGCTCGGCGCCTACGCCGACGCCCGCACGCTGCTTGATGCTGCCGCCGACGTGGCGTATGTGCCCGAGACGACGCTCGGCGACATTGCGCTTGCCCACGCTGTGGTGGCGCAGCGAGTCGGCGACCACGACGCAGCACTGGTCCACCTCGACCTCGGTCGGGCCGGCGCCTCGGTCGCCCCGCACGCCATCGACGCCTTCCGGGGCGACTCGCTGGCGGCGCTTGGGCGGACCGCTGACGCTGCAGCAGCGTACACGACGGCGTACCACGGCCACCCACGCCGAATGGCCCTTGACAAGGCCGTCCGCACCCTTCGCAGCCTCGGCGAGTCCGACGCTGCTGGCCAGCTCCTCGCCCACGCCGTCGAGGCCGGCATCCTCCGGGTTGGCCTGGAAGAGCAGCGGCCGCACGAGCTCGACGGGGCACTTGAGGGCAAGCCCGTGTGGACGCTCGACGAGGCCACGCCCGACGGCTCACTCGCTGCCTTTGTTGCCTCGCAGATGCCTCTCATTGTCGACGAGGTCCACGCCGCCCTCGCCGCCGACCCGGATGCACTGGCAAAGTGGTACGCCGCCACCGGCTCGCATCTGCTCTACGCCCACGACGCAGCTCTCTACCGATGCGTCGATCCGGGCTGTCCTGAGACTCGCTGGCACCAGGTCGGCCTGTGGGAGACCGGGAGCCCCACCGATGCCGCCTATGCCTTCCCGCAGACCATCCAGTCGTTCTTCGACACCCTCAAGCCCGTCCTCTCCTTTGGCCGCGTCCTCTTCTCCGTCCTTGACGCTGGCGTCGACATTGTGCCGCATGTCGGCCCCACCAACCGCCGCCTTACTGTCCACTGCGGCGTCGCCATCCCGGATGTTGACGGCCTTTACCTCCGCGTCGCCGATCACAACTTGTCTTGGGCTGACGGTGAGTGCTTTGTCTTTGACGACTCGTTCGAGCACCAAGTCGCATTTCCGCACCCGCCGTCGGCGTCGACCCCGGCCGCTCCGCGCATCGTTCTCCTCTTCCACATCCCCCACCCGGGCATGTCCGCCAACTAAACCTGCATCAAGTTTACATTGTGTCCCTTCCCGGCCGTTACGCCCGCACGCTGCGCGGCGCCACTGGCGCTGATCCGGCTTCTGGCCTCGCCACCAGCCCCCGCTGGCGATATCGCCGCGGGGCCCGATGTGCAAGCTGCGCCCGCGGCGGATGCCGGTGCCGTTTGCCCTGCACCGGCTCGGTGGCCTGGGACACACCCGCCGCCGTCATGTGCGCATCTGCAACTGCCACCGCATCGCGCATGGCTTTGTTCAGCTCTTCGGCCGCCACCACCGCCGCCTGCGCATCAGTCGCCACCGCCGCCGCCTCTTGCTGCTCGCTGGCGGGAGCAACCTCGGCCTCGAGCTCGTCATCGCCCTCCAGACTCTTGACCTTCCGCAGGGCGCGCGCCTTTCTGCGGGCCTCCTTCATCGCCCGCTTCTTTTGCTTGCGGAGCGCTCGGATGTCCCGGTTGTTCTCCTTGACAATCTGCTTCACCTTGTTCTGTGTGTTGGGCGAGAGTGGCGCGAGCTTGATGGCCGCCAGCGCTCCGCGCGGAACTTGCAAGTTTCCCGATCCTCCCGATTCGCAGCTCGTGGCATCGTCTCCGGCTTCTGCACCTAGTAGGCCATATCCGCTGGCGCCTTCCGAGTCGGTTCCGCTAACCATGACCGCTCTGGCGGCGTTTGTCTCGCGCTCCGCCTCGAGCGCAGCCTCAAAGGCGTCAAACTTGGCGCAGACCCTTCCAAAGGTGTTGAGCCCTGAGTATCCCGTTGCGGCATCTGCCGCACCTCTGCGGCGTGCAAGCGCTCTGTTCCTTCGTTCCCGCCGCCTGATCCGCGATCCGCCTCCAGAGGCTGGCTCAAGCGCCGTCTCGTACTGCTGCGCCAGCGCGGCGTAGTGCGCGCCGGCGGCGCCCGTAGCTGGCGGCGCGCCTGCCTCAAAGACAGGCGCATCACGGTCACGGTAGCGAACAGGCATGACAAAGGAGAGTGTGGTAGCAGTTGGGACAATACAAATGGGAATGTGTGTAAAGTCGAGTGTGGCTAGGGGGCCCGGCGCCCGCTGTGCCGTTGAGTAAGTCCGTTGGCGCAAAAGGAGGTTGAGCAGCGGCGGGCGGGAAAAACTCAAAATTTGGTCCGGCGCCTGGCTTGGACGGGGCCGAGTTTACGGAAGCTGATGCGACCGTCCGGTCATGACTCCTTCATCAGCCGCTTGCTCCTACGGCGCCGTTCGTTGCGGACACCCTTGGTGAGCGCCGAGGGCTTGCGGACACGGGTGGAGCGGTTGGCGCGAGGTGCAGGCTTGGGTGGCGAAGGCGAGAGGGCGTTGTCAGGCTCGACGAGCGCGAGGTCACCGTCACCGTCACCGCCATCATCACCACTGGCGTTGGCGGCAAACGAGTTGACGTTAAGCGGAGTCCGCGGCTTGCGCGTCCGGCGCGACCGCCGCAGCGCGGGCGTCGACGGCGACGACATTGGTGACGGAAGCTGCGGCTTGCTCGTCGGCGAGTCGGACTTGAAGGCGGCAAACGCGGCAAACGATGGCGAGGCCGCGTTTCCGGCGCTGCCGGTCTCCGCGATGTCCATGGCCGACCGCCCGCGGTGGACGGCCGGTGACGGTCCACTCTGCATGGCGACGAGGCGAGCCATTTCGCGGTCGTCGTCGTCATCGTCGTCGACGGCGACGTTGCCACTGCTGCTGTTGTCGTCTTGGCTACCGTGCGCTTCGCTTGCGTTGGCCTCGCCCTCACTCTCGCCCTCGTCCATAGCCTGGCGGCCGCCCGAGTCGGCGGGTGCAGCAGTGCGGGCGTGCACGCCGCCGCCGCGCTTGCCGGGCGTCTGGATGCGGCCGGCAAGAACAGAACCGTGCGGTGAGGCAGCGGAAGCGGCAAAGCCGACGGTCTTGCGCTTCTTGCGCTGCGGCTCTGAAGCGAGCGCTGACGCGACGTCGGACCGGGTTCGACCGACCAGCGGGCCGATCGACGGTGGTGTGGCGAGTGCAAACTGCCGCGGGACCGTCGGGAGCGGCGTGGCTGGCGAGGCGCGGACAGGCACCCGGCGGATGGCTGGCGAGACCCGGGCGCCACCGCTGGCCGGCGATGCGAGCTCCGAAAGGAGCGCCATCCGCCGGAGCCGCGGCGCGCCGCCGTCGCGGCCGATGAGGGAGCTGGCCGGCGAGCCCCGGGCGCCCGCGGGCGGGCTCGTCTCGCGGGCGCCGAGCTCGCGGGTGGCCAGCGGCGTGCCAAACGTCGGCGACGCCGTCTCGGCCGCCGGCGCCTCGACCTCGGTCACCGAGAGCGCACCTGAGGGCGGGGCAAGCTCGGGGGTAGAGATGATCGACAGCGGCTTGGCTCCCGAGCCGAGGCGGCGGACCATAGCCGGCGACATGAACGACGCCCGCGCTGCGCTGGAAAGCAGCCGCGCCGCAGGCGCAGGCGCAGTCTTGGCCGGCGGTGTGGCGAGAGGCTCGACCGGAGCACGGACCGGGCCAGTGATCTCGGGCTCGGCGGTGGGAAAGGTGATGGCCTTGGCTGTGTGGCGGACGGTCGGCTGCTTCCGCGCGCGCGGGGTGGTCGGCGGGGCCGAAAAGGCGCGGCTGCTGACAGAGGCGCCAGAGGCAAAGGCAGCAAAAGCCGGCGAGGTCGGCGATGTCGGTGACGCGACGGTGGCCTGGGCGGCAGGGAGGGGCTCGCGGGCGGCGGAAATGTCGGCGCGAGTCATGCCGAGCGGGAGCTTGGGAAGGGCGGCGAGGTCGGAGAGGGCCTCGGGCAGTGTGGCTGCATAGTTGAGGGCGAGCCGCTCGCGGAGCGCGGCCTGCTCGGGGCTGATGCCCTCGCGCTCACCAAGCCAGGCAAAGAGCTGCAGGGCCTCGATGAGGCGGCCGCGTTGGAAGAGGTACATGAGGACGAGGTCGGCGTGGAGGACGACGGGCGAGGAGAGGAGCCATGCAAAGGTGACACGCTCTTCGGCCTTGTTGAGCGGGAGCTTGATGAGGTTGGCGAGGCACTTGCGGTCGGAGGCGCACTGCAGGAGCGTGTGCAGCAGGATCTGCAGTCGCGACGCCTCGTAGCCGAGCGACATGAGCGCAAAGTTGCGGACGGCGACAAATGCCTCCTCCAGACAGCCGTTGAGGGCAAGGACGCGGATCCGGGTCTGCATGTGGGTCACCGACTCGAGCGGTGGCGAGACGCGGCGCATAAAGGTGAGGGCTGCGGCCGGCGCGTCGGCGGCGAGAAAGGCGGCGAGGACCTCGTTCGGCACACGGAGGCGAACGTGGCTGAGCGTGAGCTTGGCGAGAGCGTCGTGAACAGGCTCGGCGCTCGAGCTGGGAGCCACGGCCTTGTCGAGCGCCCACTCGCCACGGAGCCGATCGCGCTCGCCTTCGGGAATCATAAAGGCGGCGGCAAAGCGGTCGACGAGTGCAGCCGCGACGCCGAGGTCGAGGAGGAAGACTAGGACGAGCGATCGCTTGTCGAGTACCTGAGCCGCAGAGCCGTCGAGAAAGAGCTGCGAGAGCAGGTCGCCGGTCGACGACGGCGGGTAGGCTGAGCGCGGGAGGCAAAGCTCGGCGACGAGGCGATCGACAAAGAGAGCGCGCGGAGCAGCAGCGTCGCGGCGGGCGGCGAGGGTGGCCCGGAGCTTTCCGCTGGTGCATGCCTGGGGGGCAAGGAGGTCGTTCTTGACAAACCAGATGAGGAGCTCGAGGTGCTGTGAGACTTGCAGAATCGAGTTGATCTTGTGTGCGAGGAGTGCAGCCGACTCGGCGGCCTCGAGCGAGTCGTCGACTCGGGCCTGCAGCGCACCGATGACCGAGAACAGGCCACCGAGGCGGGTAAAAGCAGTCTCAAGGACCGAGAGTAGGACCTTCTTGGGATAGCTGGCCGGCTCCGCGTAGAGGGCGACGGTGAGTGCGTCGAGAGCAGCCGAGACGGCGTCAAAGTACGACGAGGCCCAGGCGAGCACCGCGGCCGGGTTGCCGAGGACGTAGCTCGGCTCGGCGCCGGCGTACGCGGTCTCCTCTGCCGATATGTACTGGCAGATGACGCCGACGAGATTTGACTCGAGGATGAGCGAGAGCAGATGGGCGCGCTGGTAGTCCTCGTTGTTCTCGCGACGGACGTCGAGCTGCGAGACTGGGAGGAGGCCGGCAACCTTGGCGGCGGTGTAGCACGGAGTCGGATGGGCGAGGGCAGTCGGCCCGCTCGAGGCCAGCTCGGTGAGAACCCGGTCCTTGCCCGACTCAAACTGGACCGCACTCAGCGTCTGGCCCGTGAGCAGCTTGAAGCCAAACGACCAGGCCTCGAGCTCGGTTTGCCACTGGGTACCCGAGACGGCCGGCACGTCGTAGCCGAGCGCCAGCGCCAGCGTGGCGAGCTCGGTCTCAGGCTCGAGGTCAGCCACAAGGCGTGCGCCGTGGACGGTGGCTGTGACATCGAGCGCGGCGGCAAGGACCGGCGCGTCGAGCTCGATGCCCTGGGTCGAGAGCCAGGTCAGTGCCTCGGACTCGAGCGAGTGCGCGACGGCAACAAGCTCGCCGGCTGCCACCAGTGGGCTCGAGCGCTCGTTGCGCCACTCTTCCCACAGAAAGGCGACACGACCTAGCTCAGACGGCTTGTCAGTGAGCAAGTCTGACTCTTCATCAGCCTGCATCATGCCGGGTGCGCGGCCGGGCACGTCGCGGGCGAGGAGAGTGGCGGCGACAAGCCGGGCAGCGCGCGGCAGGTCGGCGGCGCCGGCACGCGACATGACGAGCTCGTCGCCCGAGCCGGACGACGAAACAGTGTGGCGGCCGCGGCCAAGAGTGACCTCCAGAAAGTGGCGCGTAATGACGCCGCGCGTCGGGAGCGCCATCGGCGGGACAGCCTCGGCGAGCGCCGGGGTGAGCGCAAGTGACGAGCGTGCAATCCAGACCACAACTTTGACGTCGTCGTCGAGCTGCTGGGCGACAAAGCCGGAGACAGGGGGAAGGGAGTCGGCGCCGAGCAGGTCCGCGACCGAGTCGTCGTCCGAGACGATGACTGCCTCCCCGGTAAAGACCGAGAGCAGCATGTAGCCACCGTGGCAGTAGCCGGCGGCAATGACACCGGCGACGGGCAGGACAGCAAGCGCCGAGACGGCAGCACGCGATGCGGCGAAGCGAGCGCCAGCCGCGCAGTTTCCGTCGGTCATCTGGGAGTCAAGCTCAAAATGAGGGAGCTCGTCGAGCGTCACAATAGCGCCGCGTGCCGTCACGAGTTGGGTCACGTCAACGAGGATGACACGCCCCGAGTTGGTGCCGACGGCGATGAGGGCGTCGACGTGGTCTGAAGCGAGAAACGGAGCAAGCGATGCGACGCGCTTGGCCTTGGCCATGTTTTGCCAGCGGACCATCTGCCGCGGATCCGCCAGGTGCGCCAGAGCAGTGACTGTCTCAGGCAGTTCGACAGCGCCGAGGAGGAGGCCTGAGCGCAGGTCGATGACTCTCACCAGCGCTGCTCCGCGGTCCTCGGCCGTCGCGACCACTGCCACCGTACCAGCACGAGTGGCAGCATAGCAGGCAGTCAGAACCGGCGACTGGAGGTGTACATACGCATTTCGGGTGAGTGGGAGTGGGAAGACGGAGCAGTGGGACAGGGAGGGGGAGGGGGGTTCAGGAAAAAGCCGTCACTTGCGACTCTGCCGGTTTGATCGGGTGGTTGATCGCGGGAGAGAGGGGGGGGGAGACGGGGGCAGGGTGGGGCAGCTGCGGGTGGCGAGCAGGATGGGTAGGGGGGAGGGGGGGCGAGGATGAGGAGTGGGAAAGGATGCGTACAGAGGTGGTGTAGGCGTGTGTGGTGTCAGAGGTAGGCGAGGAGGCGAGAGTGTGTGCGCCCGGGAGGTGGCCGGAGACGCGGGTTGATGACGCCCGAGCCTCGCGGGCGAGGTCAAAGACAGCGACCTCATTGCCACGGACAAGGAGGGCAGAGGATGTGGCAAGAGAGAGCCGACCAATGCCTGGATGTGCTGTGCGGGAAGGGTGGGGGCAGCAGACTCAAAGGCCACAGGAAGCGCAGCTGTGGCGCTCACTGGCGGCTCGCTCCGCTGCGTTACAGCCTCGCGCGCCAAGGACATGGCCAGCCGAGTCGGGTGTGGTCTCTCGAGATCGGTGTGGTGGAGGTGGAGGCGATGAGGGGGCTTGGGTGATGGATAGCCAGCTGGACGTATGTATGTGTGTTGTGTGCGTGCGTGCGTATGCGTGTGGCTTTGTGTATGTGTGCGTATGTGTGTGTGTATTAGAGGCGGGATGGGATGTCGGCGACGTGAAGATGTGCGGTGTCGAAGAGAAAGTCGAGGATGATCTTGGCAACGCCGCGTGGATCGTCGAGGTGCGGATGGTGGGAGGTGGGGGTACGTGGATGGTCGAGTTAAAGGCCTTTGCAAGGGCGGTGACGCCGTCGGAGAAAGACCCGCGGTCCGAGGCGATCTGGATGGAGGGGCAGGTGGCACGAGCGGCGTAGGCGTCAAAGATCTCCTGGGTAAAGAACTGACCGGAGGAGAGCTTGAGGCGTGGATCGTGGGCAAAACGGAAGCCGTCCTTGTAGGGGCGCGAGCCACGCTCCATGAGGACGCGGGCATCGTAAGCAGAGACAACAGGCGGGACTGGCAGGCCAAGGGACTCAGCCCGCGACTCGGCGCGATCGAGGAGCGACGAGGCGAGGCGGACGGCCATGGCATCCTTGGACGGGTAGACCCGGTACCGCGGTTCCATGCGGACAGCGGCAGCTTCAGCGCGGGCCGAGTTGGCGAGGATGGTCGGCATGACCTCGGCCTTGATGAGGTAGACCGGGGCGTCGAGAAAGACGACGCCTGTGACAATGTCTGGCAGCATGCCCGCGGCGTAGGCCGCGACGTGGCCGCCCATCGAATGGCCCATCAGCACAACCTTGGACCAGCCAAGAGCAGCAATGACATGGGTCACATGCTTGAGGTATGTGTAGAACGAGTACGCACCGTCCGGGCCGAGATGATCCGAGAGTCCGTGACCTACAAAGTCGAGGGCCACGAGCTGGACGACCGACGAGAGCGACGATGAGCCCGACGCCTGCTCTGCCGACTTTGTCGCAACTCCGGCTATAGCCGGCAAAGACGTTGACGTCGAGTTTGACGTCGAGGACAAAGGGAGCCGTGTTGTGAGGTGGGAAGGAGCTTCAGCTAGCTCAAGTGCCGCACCACCGGTGAGGTAGGGAGCGAGGGTGTCGTACGTCCCTGCGTTGTCCATAAAGCCATGCAAGGCCAGGATCTTGAGCTTGGCTGATGACGGGCCCATACCTTAGCAGCTAGCTTGATGCCTGAAGGCATAGTGATCTGCATTTCGTCGTCCTCGGTCCCCATCCATGCCTCTGATCCAGGCTCACGTCCGTTCATGGCACACGTCACGGCAAAGTCGGAGAGCGGTGGGTACGGGAGGGGGAGGGGGGGGGGGGGTGTGTGGGAGACAGGTAGTGATGTGGTATGCATGATATCATGGAAATGATAATGACAGCCCACCACACCCGATCCCATCCCATCACCCCCATACACCCACCCGCCATACCTCATTCATACCCCCCCCCCCCCCCCCCCCCCGTCCTGACCTCACCCAAGCAGCCAACCGACTGACCACACCCACCACCACCCACCACCACCCACCACCACCCCCACCATCACCCACACCCACCACCCACCACCACACCCACCACTAGCCCACTCGCACGGCCATTCGACTCCACCATGCGTACCCTTCACCCACTGCTTGTACTTGGCCTTGTGGTTGTTGTCCTCGCCGCTACCTTCCCTCCTCCTCGGCTGTGGTCAGGCGCTCACGGTCGCGCAGTCGCGACCATGGTCATGGTCATGGTCATGGTCATGGTCGTGGTCATGGCCAGGGTCATGGTCATGGTCATGGTCATGGCGGAAGTGATGGCCAGCCGATTGGGTATCGGTTTCTCAAGGCGGATGCTGCGGAGGAGCTGGCCAACGAGAGCCATCCGTCGGTCTTTGTGGTCTGCGATGTGAAGGAGGCCGGGTGCGTGCGTGTGCTGGCCAATGCGGCCGGGGCGGCGGCAGAGATGGGATCGGCTGTGCCGCTGGCGGTGGTGGAGCCGGACGAGGCCAAGAAGTTTGATGCGCTGTGGAAGGTTGTGGCTCGCGGGACGCTCCCCCGCGTTCTGGTCACTGCTCACGGTCTCATCATGCCATATGCTGGCGACCGGTCTGCCATCTCCATCGTCAAGTACATCATCCGTCTGCTCGAGTCGGACGCCGGGGCGACCCGGACGACAGCAAAGCAGTCATTTGCGGCGCTGGCGACGTCGAGCTCGTCCAAAGCAGCGCTGCTGGCGGTGCTGCCACCCGGCGCATCGCGCGAGCATCCGCTGCTTCAGGCGCTTGATGCTACCTCACATGTCATCGCCGGGCGGGTCGGCCTCGCATACACCACCGACGCCGAGGTGGCTGAGGCCGTCGGCGTGCCCGAGGGCGTGGCGCTCGCGCTGGTCACCCCCGATCGCGGGGTGGTGGCGTACAGCAGCGAAGCCGGGAGCGACGGTGTGTCGGCACAGAGCATCGTCGACTTTGCGGCCGCCAATGACTGGCGGCTTGTGGGCACGCTCTCGCGCGAAAACGCACACGAGCTGTGGGATGGGCTCTACGTCCACGACACCGGCATTCTGTGGATCAACGGGACGACATCGCCTGGTGCAGCGTCGGCGATCTCGGCGCTGTTTGAGGCTGCGCCCGATGCATACGACGCCGATGCGACGCACCCAGTCCGCCATCTGGTTGTCGACCTCGCACGACTGCCGGAGGCCGCCGGCCCGGTGACGCTGCCGGAATCTCTGCCGGCGTACGGTATTTTCCAGGCCGGCCTCCAGCGGCGGGTCTGGCTCGATGGCCGGCTCACCACCCGCAGCATGCTCGACTTTATCGTCGGCTACACCAGAGGCGAGTTTGGCGTCGACCCGCGGAGCGCGCCGCGGCCGGCAGCGTACAGCGTGCCGACGGCGAGCGAGCTGGAGGCCGATCCTGCAGCAGCAGTCGTCGAGGTCGTTCACGACAGCTACGCCGAGGTTGTGGCTGACGATAGTGAGACCAACATGCTGCTTGTGTATGTGGGGACACCGTGCGCGGGATGCGCGACTATGCTCCCGATCTTTGACGATCTCGCGGCGCAGCTTGCGCTTCGTGGCCCGCCACGGATCCGGCTCGCAGTCTACGACCTGGCGAGCAACGACATGCCGGCGTCGGTCAAGGTTCAGGGCCGGCTCCCACTGTTTGTGGTCCACCCGGCCGGTCCGCACCACGAGCAGCCGATTGTGCTCGAGCCCGAGAACGGACGGGTCCAGGACATCCTGCTCAACTTTTTGAGGCGGAACGCCGACACTGAGACTGCGAGTGCGCTGGCGACGTTTGAGCTGGAGAACCACGACCCGGCGATTGCGGCACGGCAAGCCGCGATTCGCGAGGCTGCGACGGGTGCGGAGAAGTAATGAACGGGCTGTGGACAGGTGAGGGTTCAATGGTGGGCGACGGCGTCGGTGTCGGCGTACGGGGTAAAGTCGGGCTCGCCGTCGCTGCCGTCGACGGCGTCGAGGAGGACATCCAGCTGGGCTCGCATGCGGAGGAGGGCAGCGGACATGGCGTCTGCGCCGTGCTTGGCTGCGGCGGCAGCCTCGCGCTGGATGCGGAGGGTGCACCGGAGAGCGGTGACACGGTCGTCGAGTTGGCGAATTGCCTCGGTTGACGCCGGGTTGGCTGCAACGACGGCGGCACGCTGGTCGATGAGCGCAGACAGCTGGCCGAGATAGTGAGTCCGCTGGTCGATGGCAGTCTGCAGGCCCAGAATGCGTGCAATGAGCTCAGAGCGCGGTGGAAGCGGGGGCTCGGGCTCGGAAAGTAGTTCGGGCTCGGGCTCGGGCTCTGGCTCGGGCTCGGGCTCATGCTCTGGCTCGGGCTCGGGCTCATGCTCGGGCTCGGGCTCGGGTTCCGCCTCGGGCTCGATGACGACTTTGGGCACGTTGCCAATCACGGTGGCGTGGAAGAGACGGGCGCCCTCGTCGGGCGGCAAGTCGACGAGGGCATCTGTAGGGACACGTCCCTCAGAACCGTTGGGGCACGAGCGAGAACCCAGGCTGGATCGACGGTGAGGGCAAAGACCTCGAGAAGATCGCCGATGGCAATGTCAAGAACCTGCTGCGAGCTGTGTGGGGCAGTGTGAACAAAGTCGACGGTGTCCGAGTGCGCTGGGAGAGTGACCACCCGCGAGTAGCGCGGCGACATGGCGCCTACATCCAGTGACTCGCGCGAGATCTGAGCCACGAGTCCGGGATGGGCCGAGGCTGACTCGCCACCAGGATGGAGGGTGACGAGGGCAGAAGGGGCGGTGGATGAATCAGGATAGTATGATGACGACGAGGATGAGACGGAGTCGGCCGAGGCCGAGTGTTCCGGCTCCAGCTCCGGCTCCGGCTCTGGCTCTGGCGTTGTGTTGCTCGTCGAATCCGAGTCCGAGTCGGACGAATCTGCCGACTTGACCTTTTCCTCCATCTCCTGGACGTCAACGAGCGAGCGGATGGTGCGGAGGCCGGTGTGCTCTGGGTTTGCAGCAAGAGTTGCGGCGCGAGCAGCGGCGAGGCGCGAGGGCGAGGTGCCGGAGGAGAGCGAGATGGCGCGACGCTGATGTGAGGCCTTGATCTCGGCCTCGGGGCGGGAGTCGACGTCCTCCATCGAGTCCGAGTCCGATGAGGTGTCTTCGAGCAGCGACTCGAGCATGACGCGGCGGGTGCGGAGGCGCTTTGCGGCAAAAGGGGTGGCAGCCATGGCAGCACGCTCGCCGTTGATAAGGCGACAGAGGAGAAAGTCGTGGAAGAGTTCGCCCTTGGCAAAGATGCCCGGCCAAGGCGTGGGAGGGCCAAAGGAGGCGACGGAGCCTTCTGCAGCAAACTCGACGGCGTAATGGGTCTCGCCGGTGGCCTCTGTCAGCTCGCAATCCTTGCGGACGGCGCAGACGATGTGGGTAAAGTGCGAGGCCATGGTAGAGATGTTGAAGGTCTCGGCGCCATCGTCAAGGAAGACGACGAGGACGACGTCGTTGCCAATGTGGCGCTTCCGCTGGAGCTGCTGTGGGTCTTTGGTGCGCGGGAGGAGAGTGGAGACGTGAAACATAATGTCCATGCCATTCCAGGCGGCGGCGACCGAGTGGGCTCCTGTGAGATCAGAGGCTGTGTCGAGGCCGCCGGCAAAGCCTGTGTAGCCGTTGAGCTGGATGCGGTCGCCAAGAAAGGCGATGAACTCTTCAAAGTCGTCCGAGCCGGACTCGTTGGCCAGCATCTCTTCTTCGGAAGACTGGCCGGCACGGGCGAGGAGGACGCCAAACTTGTAGCAGATGGGCAGGTTCTCGGACTCTTCCAGCGACAGCAGTGTCGTGCGGATGGAGCGCGAGCGGACAGGTGCCTTGCTGAGGACGGTGGCGTACTCGGGTGCAAAGGTCTTGATGATCTTGCTCTTAGACACGCCACCGAACCGGGCCATGCACGTCTTGGCTGGCGCGGTCATCAGCTTTGTGCCTCCACCGAGGGTGCGGAGCATGGCGCGGAAGATGTGTGTCGACTTGTCGGCGTCCGCGTTCTCTGTTTGTGCGTAGAGGGGGAAGGGGGGGGGGGGTGAGTGTGGGGGTTGATACCGACGAGTACGATGATGCCGACGAGTACGATGATGCCAATGATGCTGCTGCTGCTGCTGATAATGATGATGATGACGATGATGATGACGATGATGATGATGACGATGAGAACAATGACAGCAAGAGAACGACATGGCCGACGAGGACAGCAGCGTCTGTGTGCCGGTACTTGCCCTTCCGTCCGTCCCCGTCAACAGCACCCGGTTCTTCCCCCTCTCCCCTCTCACCGCTCCCCCTTCCCCCTCTCCCCACTCTCCCTCCACATACCATGAATAACCGAGAGCGAGACCACACCCGTGGCATCCGAGCGACCGACAAACTCCATATGCTCTCTCCCATAGAAGTAGTCAGCATACCAGGTAGAGTCAGCGTCCGACTCGGAGACGGTGACGTCGAGAGGAGCATCAGGCGCAATACGGATAGGCGGCTCGAGACGCCAACCGAGCTTAGGTTCGAGAAGGGCAACTGCCTGAAGGTGCTTGCTGTCACGTCGAGACATGCCCACTATTGCTCTGCCTCACTACTTCTCGTCCTCCTCGCACTGCCTCCCTCCCCGCTGGAGACGTGTGTGTGTGTGTGTGTGTGTGTGTGTGTGTGTGTGTGTGTGTGTGTGTGTGTGTGTGT